AGACACATCTCGCGCGGCTCTGTCTTGATCAATAGTTGTATATTTATGGTAAAATATCGAAAGTGCTTTACTGCGGTTGTGCATATGAAAAAAATTTAACTCTTGACACAAATAATAATGTATTCTCACAGTGAAACACATTGGCTGTAAAGCAAGAGTGTCTTGCAAATTCTCTTTTTTCTGCTTCAACATTTCACAACACTTTTTTTTTGCCTCTGCATGGAGGTGTTAAAGAAAAGGAACAACATTGACTTATGAGAGAGAGATAGCTCACTTAATTTCGAGAATAATCCATTTTTCATGCAGTTGGTAGAGATCCTTGTAATTGTGATATCCAATTGTGTGATCTGCTGAGGAGAAGTTCGTTTTTCTGGTTCTTTGATTTCACTCACGGAAAAAGTGTGTTTCACTCTGTGCGACTCACGTGAAAATCTTTGCTCAATCTGCTAAAAACTGAGAGCGACTGTGGATGTCTTTTACCACAACTGAGCAGCCACCGCGCGATGTTCAGCGCAAATGTTTACGCAATGAGCCAATTGTTGAGTAAGCGCAAGACACTTGCGCGCCCGAAAAACCGTTGCGTTTTGTACTTTTGTATTTGAACTAGAGTTTTAACAAGAGAGTGCAAGTGAGTGAAAAAGCACCACCAAATAGTTCGATATCCGTGAATAAACTAAAACAGCTCCGTCGACAATTCGGAAATGGGGTTTTGCACGGTGGAATTTGCTGTCGAATGGGATGGATGAATTGGGAGTGAGTGCAAGAAAAGGCACTCTTGCATCGGCGGTGGGGGCGCATACCATTTCTCTGGCGCCGCGTGATATCTCGCTACACCTTTCCCCTCATTTCCACACACAGACAAACACACACATAACAAGCACACTTACCCAGTGAGAGATCCACTGCGGAATGTTGCTGGAAAATTGATGGTGAGATTCTTGTTTGCCGCGCAATCTTGCTGGCATGGAGGAGAAGAGATGATAAGAACCAAATGATGACGTCTTCGTGGCTGCTGAAATGTGTTTGACCTTTCGATTCAGCAATTGATCGCGATCACAGTGATTATGTGTATATTATAGGCTATATCAGATTTACAAATGTGCTTTCCGGATTAAACAATTTAATAATAATAATGCAATTTGATCTCCATGTCGGCAAACAATGCCCTGGAGATTATTTCCAAAGCTGATACACGATCAGTGGCGATCTTGAGCGATTGCTGGTGAACTGGAGAAATTTCCATATCCCTTCTTTAGAGTCTCTCGGTCTCTCAAGACGCCCCTCTTTTTCTCCCCGCTGAACCACTTAATAAACAAGACAATATCCATGCAAAGTGCGTGGCTTCTACTGGTTTTTGATGACAACGAAATATACTTTAGCGAAGACGAAAAGTCTTGCATCACTCACACACAGTGTTGTTTTTTTTTATGAGAGCCGCTAATAAACTTACAAATTTGTACTTTCTTTTATCGACAAAATCCCTACGTTAATGTCTTGGAATGTTTTTCTTTCGGTTATAATACATCATACTCGTTAAATCTCTCTTAATTGCTGAAATAAAATGCTTCATGAGTTAATGCGATCGCTCTGAGAATGCATTCTATCGTGCCAGATCACTTCAGAATTCAATTGATTTCTTAAGGTAAAAAAAAGTGTAGTGAGTAAAAGCAGATAATATATGTTGCTTCCCCAGAATAAAAGAAAAAAATTTGTGCCATAAATTTCCATTATTCAACGGTCAAATTGATTACAAAATCGAAGAAAGTTGTTGTTGAATTTCTTTTACTTGCACCTCCGCGTCAAGTCTGGGGGGAAGAAATGTGGCTGTCTTTTCCACTTCTGGCCACCTTGATGGCGTTGGCTTGGAAAAACATTGCAATGATGATGATGGATTTGTATTTGAACGGGGTCTCTTCCATATCAACACACAATCAGTGACCAGACGGAGATGAAATCGTGAGGTTTACGTCTTGATTTTCACATTATTACGCTAGATTGTAAAATAGTTGCGCAACAATTTGATATTATAGGCGTTGTGTATGTGTGCACAGGCGATGGCGGTAATTTTCTCCTTTTAGCTGGTGGATGCAAAAATTATTATAAAATTTATTTAACACCAAATAAACAGTGTGACGGTGAAAGAGACGCGGTGATCGTGTCACAATTTCACCCGGTCTACCAAGTTTTTTTTTCTCTCAGTTTCACTCACTCTTTCACTCGGAAATGGTGGCAGACGTGACTCTCGGCACACTTTTGTCGCCACTTCCGATGTAAATTTCTTTTTTTGGGTACAAATTGGAGGCTTTTTTTTTGGGTGGCACGGAAAGACTATTGAGATTGCGCAAGATCGCTTCGATCACTGATTTTTTTTTAGTGTGTTGTGATCATAAATGCGCGAATATTGCGCAATGTCAGCTCAACTGATGGATGATTTTGCTACAGATTGAGTTGTGGGTGATCCATTGACCAAAATACCATAATTTCTCCCATGACATGACATGCAACTCTCTGTCCATTGTTAATTCTCTGATCCAATTTGCTTTCTTTGACATATATTCCATTGTTGTGACCACTCTGAGAGTGTGTTATCTAAGATTATGCACACAATAGCGCGACTTGATGCAAAATGAAAATGAAATTCTTGCCATTTTTCATGTCAATGCAACTGTTGATGTTTTTGTCTATTGTCTCAACGTGTCACAGTTCTTCGTTGATCACCTTATAATAATATGGTCTTACTTTGTACATAATAGTTTAATGAGTTTTGACTCTAGCACGTATTTACGTGCAAAGTGTTGCTGGAAAAGAAGAAAAAAAATCATCCTCGCACTTCCCGTTCAAATGCGATCTCACGAGATCTTGTCAATGCGATCACGTAAGATCACGCGGAATGTGAGAGTTTGCATCAATCTTAAAACCTCCAACAAGTAGAGATCACGTTCACTATCATTTTTTCTCACTCTCAATTTGATTCGATAATCCAATATACTTATACAGGTATGAGGAATTCATTACCATGTTGCGTATAGAAAAGATCTCTTTTTCGAGTTCAAGATTGTTTGGTATGTTTCAGACCTCCCGCAATAAGGATTTTGCTGTGTTTCGTGCGCTCATGATCACGCCAAACCCGCAATGTACGCAGAGATTCAATTTAGCCAACTTGGAAATCCCGACCACGCGCCATTGAACAATATACTTATTTGGACAATTTGTAACGGAATTCCTCTGTGAATATACGCGAAGAATTCATTATTATGCTTTCAATGAGATGCAGCACTTTTTCTCTAATTTCTCTCCCTTTTTTTCTTTGCATTTTCCTAATGGAATTCCTTGCGAGTGGCGCTGAGTGACAGGAGAAAGAGTTTAGCGGGCTGTAAAAGTGATCGCGATCTTCTGTATAATTATTACCAACAGCCACAACAATGTTTGGGTAGAATTTTTTAAAGGCCACTGTTTGCGGCAAGTGAAAGTGTTAGGTAACACTGTGCGGTGCTCCGACGTGTGTACATTAAATACACGAGCATTTTCCTACACGATCGACGGTATTTGGTTTCTCTCCCACTTGCACTTTCGTTCGTATTTACTCTGTCATGCCGACGAGAGTGAGAATGAGAGTATGTGTTGTGTGTGTGTGTGTGTGTGTTTATGGTGAGAAAGAGCGCGAATTGCGGACAAAAGCATGCGAAGGAAATTCTAGGTCAATCGGTTTTCCGATGCAACAGTGCGCGAGTGGGTTTGCGTCTCGAATGGGGCTCTCGTGATGTAGATCGCGTGTTGGTGTCGGTTTATTAATTTTCAAAATGCTTCAATTGTTCCGATTTAGTGATGAGATTTTTCTCATTCACATTTGAGATAGATGAGAAGAGTGGCGAGAAAAATAGGTGGAATCTATAGACAGGAAAGATTAATTAATAAAAATACGGCATTATTGAGTTGCACGAATAACAGATTAATTGTTTTCGACTCAAATATCGCAGCATTTTCGTCTTTGTTGATGATGAATAGATGCAGAAGAAAGATCATTTATTAACTCACCTCTTTTCATTCATCAATTGTATCCGAAATATCACTTGAGAGTGGCTGTGTTTTCTTCGACGGTTTATTGATTTATTTTCCTCTCTCTTCATCTCTTTTGTGATGATTTTTCCTACGTGATCAGATACACGTATATTCAACATCGCAGTTGTTGAGACAACTTTCTTGCGTTACACGAATCGAGAGTGGAAAGCTTTCTTCTGCCTGGAAAATTCTTTCATTTCTGTAGAAAGTTTCGTCCATATTTCGTAACAGAACATTTCTAAGTGAAATGTAGGACAAAATGCGTCTATTACGGGCATTTCACGTTCATTTACTCACGCCTATAACTTTTAACCATTTTAACCCCATTTATGGCGTTTCATCATCAAGCTGGGACGTTTATCACCTCTTTCGCAATCGATGTTGAGTAAAATAATCCTATCATGGCTTTTTTCTCTGTCTTTTTCAGGTATGTTCTACTTTCATTGCCAATATTATGCACACAGACGAGAGATTATGCGTCTCAAGGTGGGCTGTCAATTGATGTTGGGCGAGAGCAGTGAAAAGACTGGGTTTTCAACTAGTAAGAATTCTTTTTTATTTCTTTTTTCATGTCTTAACAAATTTAGCAATACTCTCTAAAAACTTACAAAAAAACATTTAATTTCTGCATTCGTGTCTAACGTGATCTTACGCTTCTTTTTGTTCCATTTTCTTTTTGACTAGCTAACATTATTAAATTACGAAAGAATATCGTGTCACATTTTCCATGAATTGCGCGCGATATTTGTTGTGGATCTTCAACAGTTTTGATGTCTCTATAATCACCAATCAAGATCTCAAAAACATAATTTTTTTTCTTCTGCACACGTAACATTATTATTGCATTCTCTGCCACGAAGATCATTCTAACTTCTTTTGCAATCACTTTCGAAAAGAAGGGAAATTTCTACGCTGTGTAACTTTTCTCTCTTTCTCTTTTTTCTTCTTCTTCATTAAACGAGATATCACAAAATTGATATGGTTCATGACAGGGGAATGTTTTCTTAGGCGTCTCCCCGAAGTCTTCCCCAATCCTCCTTGACCATGTCGGCCGCCTTCTCGGCGATCATGATGGTGGGCGCGTTGGGATTCCCACTGATGATCGTCGGCATGATGCTGGCATCGACGACGCGCAATCCTTGGATGCCGTACACGCGCAAGCGGGCGTCCACGACGGCCTGTGGATCCCAGCTGGGGCCCATTTTGCACGTGGAGGTCGGATGGTAGATAGTGAAGGTGAATTGGCGCACACAACACTCCCAATAGGCGTCAGACTGGAACTCCAGGTGGCGACAGGCTGGCATTGGGATGTTGTGGAGGCGCGAGCCGAAGCGCTGGAAGGCTGGTGTGTCGGAGATGTTGACGGCAATCTTGATGCCTTCAATGAGGACATCCACGTCCTCGCGATGGGCGAAGTAGTTGGGAATAAGGACGGGTGGATCGAAGGGATCGGCACTGCGAAGTTTGACCCATCCTGTGCTTCTGGGGCGCAAAAGTAGGGGCAGAAGAGACCACGTTTCTGCATGAATTAATGGCTTGTAGACAGTGTTGAAGACGCCATCTCTCAGATTGAGAATCTTCCGGATGTTCTCACCGCGATCGGAGGCAACTGAGCTGGGACTGAAGTGATACTGAATGTCTGGCCAGAGGCCCGACGGATCGGCGTATTTGGTGTTGACGAAGGCCACAGCCTCGACGCCTGGGAAGGACATTGGGCCGCGTTCGTTGAGGATGTACTCGAGCAAGACTGGGGCAGTTTGGAAGCGATTGACAGTGACGGAAACAGGTTCGTTGATGACAAAAGTCAGTCCACCGAGTCCCACGTGATCCTGCAGATTGTGTCCCACTGGGAGATCCTGAACCACGGGAATATCGTGCTCGGCCAAGTGTTCAGCAGGACCTATTCCGCTGAGCATCAGCAATTGGGGTGTGTTGAGAGCTCCGGCGGAGAGGATGACTTCTCTCCTGGCCAGAACTTGATACATTTTGCCAGCACGGCGAAATTCCACGCCGAAAGCGCGTTTCTTGTCGTCCAATAGAACTCTTGTGGCTTGAGAGTGAAGAACCACGTGAAGATTGCGCCTCAGGCGAACGGGGCGGATGAAGGCTTTGGAAGTACTACATCTACTGGCACGTCTCATGGTGGCTTGGAGGAGCATGAATCCCGTTTGCTCCTCGCCATTGCAGTCTCGATAGTCATATCCCATCTCCATGCCGGCCTTGATGAATGCTACGGACAAGGGAGTTCGCCAGGGAGCCTCTTGGACTGTTAAGTAGCCGCCTTGCTTGTGATAAGGCGTTTTTGTGAGATAGGGATTGCGATTGTCCTCGGATTTGGTGAAATAGGGCAGGACATCGTCGAAACTCCAGCCAGGATTCCCCTGAGCCTGCCAATAGTCGTAGTCGCGACGATTTCCGCGCACGTAAACCATCGCATTGAGGACACTGGAGCCGCCCATGACTTTTCCACGAGGCCAATTGCAGCGATTGCCTATCATGGCTTGGCAATAGGCGCCATCGGGCGGTGGTTGAGTCTGATATTGCCAGTCAAACTCGGTTAATTGCAAATATCCCGCCATGGTGGGAGTGTCAGTGACTTCATTCTCATCTCCACCGGCCTCGATCAGGAGCACGGTCCAGTTGCTTATCTCAGAGAGTCGAGATGCCATCACGGCTCCGGCTGATCCTCCTCCAACCACAATAAAGTCATAGTGTCGACGAAGCTGCAAAGATAGAGAGGAAGAGAGAGAGAGAGAGAGAGTGAGATTAGGCAAATGTCTGCTTTTCGACTGGAAGAATTTCTTCTTACGTAGGAAGTATCAATGACTTTGGCTTCGGGATCATAGTTGTAGTAGCGATAGTAGTTCATGCCAACCATGAGGAGGGGGAGGAGACTGAGGAAAGCGACAGGAGCTGCTGTGATTCCTCCGAGAGTTGAGAAGACAGCAAAAGCCATTGCAGAAGAAGCGCGCAGCGGGTTTAGCCGTTTAAATCCATACGTCTACCGCCTGTTGAGCCGGTGTTGGTGGCTTCTCACCCAGTATCTTCGGTCGATAGTTCCTGATGCCGTTCGCCCGGGTCGGCGTGAAGTTCTTCTTGGCGTTGCGATCTTGCTCCTCAATGTCCAAGTAGGATTTAATATAGAGCTGCTCCTTGAGGTACTTTGTTTGGCGTTCGACACTTTTGCATGAGTATCGCGAGCTCGCCGTTGCCGTTGACGCGATGGAGCGCGTTGTTGTGGATCCACTGCTGCTGCTGGTCGACGAATGGTAGTCTTGTACGGAATTGCATCTACTTGGGAGTGACTTTTCTTGGCCCATCTTATGTATGAGCTTCAATCTGCAATTGGATTCCGAAGAGGAGAGAAAAAAGAGAGACAATTAGGGAAATGCTTGTGTAGATAATTAATTGTCAGGGAATTTCTTCTTCCTCTTTTTTGTATAGTATAAATGAGAAAGGAATTTGCCATTGACATTCACAATGATATGCTCTCAATTGCATTAAATTGCACACCTTCTGGAAGGCATGAGATTAGAGACAGGTTTGAATTTAAAGTGTGTGACAATCAATTCTTGTGATCTCACGCGTTTCATACCGACGATTTCATAATACACTCGCGACTCAGAGTGTTTACTTTCGAAAGTTTCGCCTCTTGTTTCTTTTTTTCTGCGCACTCCATCTCAATTTTTACCATTTATATGACACACAATCACCTTGAGAGGTGAATGAGGGGCAAAAAGAGGTGCTTTTGACACTAAATCTTTCACTCTCAACGTCTCAAGTGTACATGAAAATAGACTTTAATAATAGAATGGTCAATTGGTTTGATATTTGCAAGAAGTTTTGCGGTTTGTGACGAAAGTATGACAAGCAATATTGTCAAAGTTGATTAGTTTACCAGTGAGAAAATTTCAAGATAGTAATTTTCATATGAATTTCTCTCAAATCTTTCATCTGTGCTTTCTGCAAGTCGAGTTCAAAGCTTCACCGTCTGGTGATTTCGTTTGTGGGAAGGTCTTTAAGTGGCTTCAGCTTGACTGTTTTTTTTTGTGCCTCCAAGAAGCGTTTCCATGGTGTGTATTTCGAGAAATGAAGAGTTTATCTCAAATGAGAGTGAAATTGATTTGGTGAGGAAGATAAATTGAAAATTCTCATAACTGTGAAATTTCTAATGTCTCTGCGCTTTTTCTTAAACTTGATGATGATAAATGGTTGAACTTTCTGAGATTTTCATCTAATTCCGGGAGTTTTTTTTTCCCGGGTGAAGATGTTTCGATGTTGTGATGCAACGGATTTGTCTACACTTGAGTGTTTTTGGTTTGAATTTGCTCTGATAAATTTTGCAAATTAATATCATGATAACATTCGTTTCTTTCTTACTTAATGTATGCAAATGAAGTTTTTCGCGATTGTGATTTATTTGGGTGATTATTAGTCAAGTATGAATTGTGAATATATTGCACAATGAGAGATAACAGAGTGCAATTGAAGTGATGATGATGATCTACGCTTTGTACATCTCTAATTGTTTACTTTCACGCCATCATCAACTGTCTTACATTTACGTGTGCCATTTGCAATTGTGGCCAATTGCAGGTTGCATAGAAGAATTGAAGAGAGTGCATTGCACACACAAACGAGTCAAGAAGCGATAGAAAATTAACTCACAACTGATGTGGGTAAAAGGAGCGTTTTGGGTGATGACTACTTGATGTGTTGGATAGAGACGAAACAGCGCCCGCGCGCGTGATTGCATGAAAGGAAAATAATTCTAGAAAATAGTTTAATGTGCAGCTATTGTATAATTTATACACTTCTTCATCTGATTTATAACAAAACCACAACAGCGTTGGAAGCATTGCAATTAGGAATGACCATAAAAATGGTTATATTGCATTTTTGTGTTCACCTCTTCATGGAGACTCTTTGGAGTTTCACTTTTCATTCTGCGTACAGTTTTTACTCGCTAATTTTAGGTTTTTTTCTTCTTCATTTTCTCAATGCGAAATGTGCTGGCTTTTGCGACAACGCGGCATTGTTTTGTAATGCCAATGAAAATCTATTCAAATAGAAACACACACAGAGTTGGAATACATCAAATCTTCCAATGACTTCCTGAAGATAGACAAAGAAGGCAAAATAAGATTCACAGATTTGACTTGATTTCCACAAAGCTTCAAGTTGAAAGATCTCTTGCTGTTTGTGAAGTTGGAAGAGAAGAAGAAAAAAAACAACAGTATTACGTGTTTTATTGGAGAAGAAATCTTTCGATCCGAGGAAACGCGGCGTCGATCGCATGTTTTGAAATGCAATGATCGTTGGTGTGTATTTGGTGGCTTTGGCGGAAGATAAAGTACTTTTTGTATCTCATTTCACTTTCATCCCGTGTCTTTTTATTTCTCTCAATAATCTCTTTTCACGCTGGGGTAATGAATAAAAGAAGACTGTTACATCAATTATTTGCCAGCGTTTTTCGAACGCGCGCGCGGGTGTTTTTTGGGGGCAAAAAAAAGAGCGCACAGACCAGAAAATTGCTCAAATTCACAAAATTAAAATTCTGTGTTAAGAGTGTTTGGCCGAAAAAACAGGAAGGAAATGCGATTACGCCATCGAGGCTGAGAGAGAATGGGTGTTTACTGAAATTGTGGATCTTAAAGAGTGTCAGTCGAGGGAGAGACGCACAATATTATTGTATGTATGAATGATATGGTCTTAGAAATTGGGTGTATTTGTGCAAATTTCTCCAAATATTTTACCATGTAATTATCATTAGTTGTGAGTCTCGTGAAGACATTTTCGGACATGAAAACATCGCGCAGAGTCTCAACATTTTTCCATGGTGTTTCACACTAAAATTGTGTGGTATTTACGCGTGTGAAGTGTGATATGAATTCTAATGCTCTCTTTGAACATAATGTGGTGAAAATTTATGGAAGTCACACTGTGTTTGTCTTCAGGCCTCTCACAATTCTACTTTATACCCAGATTTAATATGGTCAAAAATGATATTATTGGGTCGCATAGCAATTGATCGCGTGTTGATCTACATTTTCAACACTTTTGCTCAACACCATAACGCACTAACCTTAATTTTTTCCCAATTTTTTTCTTGCCTCTCCATCCTAATTAATTGAAATGCTTCTTCTCTCGCATCTCTCGCACCACAATGGATGTGATCTTGCGTGAGATCAGATGAAATGCCACACGTTTGACCAAGATGACGGATCTATTTGGACTTTATTATTATGTGCGGTTGTTTTTCCTGCTTTCTGTCTGCGATGTTTTCTGCATTTTAAGACCTTTTCATGGTGATCTTGACACATGGTGATAATTTAAGAATATCATTTAAATTTTTTTCAAAGAAAAATTATTAATGAGAAAACAGTTTCACTGCTTTCAAAATTAGGTACAAATAAGACGTGCTGAAGTTTTTCTTTCACAGTGAAGAAACTCTTTTTATCATGAGTCATGAAATTGAGAGAGAGAAAGATCAAACAACTAATAAAGCTAGCATTTAACATCTCTGTTGATTTTTTTTTCTTTTTCTACGCCTCTGTCTCGCCACAGATTTGTTAATGTGAATGAATTCATTTGGGAGGCAAAGCAGTAATAAAAAAAATACTGCAATTAAAGTTCATAAGACGATCGTCAATAGGATGGATAATAATGTTGATGGGAAAAGAGTTGTGTATATAAAATGAGTGAAAGAATATTGTGGAGCATTGAAGTGACACTTTGAGATCGTTGACCCTCAATTGTGAAGTTGCAATTCATATCACAAACTTACATTAGTCACTGAAACAATCCTATGGCAAAATTCGGATGCATTCTTTTGATGATTTTCACTTCCACTTTCCAAAAAAACACGCACAAAAATCCCTCCTCAGTGATTGAAGATCGCACTGGTAAAAATTTGTCTTAGATGGCACACGAAATCACTGAGAGCGCGAGACTCTTTTGGTTTTGTTGCACAACACAGGAAAGTCACACAGTGAGGTCAATTGTTTCTTAATTTGCTGATCTTTTCCTCCTTGTGCGCAAAGATCAGTGGTGATCTTTGACTTTTTGCCACTTCACTACGAATTTTATGATCACTGATATTTATAGCTTTTCTGCGTGAATCGCAGAGGTGTGAAAATTTTCTTTTACTCTCTCACACTTGATGAGACTCTTCGACGATGGTGTGGTGAAGAGAAAGAGACCTTTTTTCCTCTTGTGTCCGAGCAGTTTGCGAGATGTTGGTAAAATGATGAAAGACACGAGCAGTGGAGAAAGACATCGCGCGGTGGGTAAATTCACGGTGATTTGGGGAGGGAGAGACATCGAAGAGACTTCCACAAGTCTTTCTCTTTTCCATGGCACGGCTTCTTATGTGTCTGTGTGTTTGTGTGGTAGAAATGAGCTTGGCTGGGTGTGTATATTATACTCTAAACATTGTATAAGAAGTCTTCAGGTGGAATTTCTCTCACTCTCGTGCGGTAAAACTCTGGTTTTTCCTTCTCAAAGTCAAGTTTTGACTATGTGTGAAAATGTGAAGAGAGCTTTTCACCGCATGATACACATTTTCACAGGAATCACCCTGCAATTCTCTCTCTAATGCTGCTGCACAATGTGTCGAGGCTGCAAAAGTAGATTTTAGAAAAGGAAAGTTGTCCAATATATTTTTCTTGTTGTCGCAGTGCATTTGCAGCGTGTGTGCATTATATGTGGAAGATCGCGATCATCAGATGGAGAAACAGCTGCACTTTTCTGCAAATGCGAACTTTCCTTTGAGACAATGATGAAAAAAAAATCCATTTCACACAGAAGTGTTAATCATGTCGGGAGATTATATGTAAAAGCCATTGAATGTATTGATTTTGATTGATATTGTCTATATGCGAGAGTAACACAAGATGCTCACAATGATCTTTCACAGTTTCACTGACATATTAAGAGATCATGATAATTTTTCTTGGTGTTTAACTTCTATCAATCTGGTTTTTATTGTGAAAATGATCTTGACCTGTTATCCTAAATTGATTCTTCTTCTCCTGGCAGTAAAAAGTATTTTTTTCTCTTTGCCAAAATGAATGATGTTTTGCCAAAAATCTCTTTTCGAATATTTCATGAAGTTCCGGTTGTATTTATCCTCTTTTTGACTTAATATATCTTTCGAAATGTTTTGTCTGGACTTTTTTAGTAGTGCAAATAAATTCTATTAGACTGTTTTCTTCACGCACAATTGACATTTCAGAAAGTCTCTCTCTCTGTCTCAACAGAAAGATGCTAATTATTGGATATAATTTCTACTTATATTGGTTCACTTTCAAGTTGTCTTTTTCATGATAAAAATGCTCAATTTCAGATGAAATTGAAAGTATAATTTGCCATCAACAAGCCAATGTTGAATTTCCTTTGTCAAAATTCCCAAGTCTCGATTTCTGGGCATATTTTCAGTGCAGCGAAGTCGATGTTTAATGATACAAAAATTGGCATTGATTGAATACCTGTTCTTCATGACGAGGTGAAAGAGCAAAAAGTGCAATTTTACTTTCACTATCACGAATTTGCCAATAAATCTCAACAACAAGATGTTGCGGATTTACGAGGTTGACTTCCATATGGCTTCGCAATTAGCATTAAATATGAATCAGTGGCAAAAATGAACTTGACTTTGAGTGCGAAGAAAAGAAAATGAAAAGGGAAAAAATTTGCAGCAAAAAAGAAACACATTTTATTGAAAGACTCAGCAGCTAAAGCATGGATAAATGCATGTAACACGAGTCACAATTGAAGGTTACTTCCTTTATTGTTGGAACTTTCTTCAAAGAAGATTTGTTGTTGTCTTTTTTCGTCGTCGCGTCGTTGTGCGTTGCGAAGATGTAACATTGAACTTGACTAGGTATGTTTTCACTTAAAAATTCACAGCAGGAAAAATTTTTACTGTGATTAATAATCCACTTGATTTTTTATTATTGATTCATCTCTCTCGCTTCGATATTTTTGGGGAGAATATAATCGAAAAAATATGCTCACGAGGAAATAGATTTAAGTGACTTTCACTGAATTAATTGATTAATGAAATGGAGTCTAGTATATCATTGGTTTATCCTATTAATAAAGATAATTAAATATTTGATCTTCAAAATTAGAAATTTTCCATGAATTTCAGGGAGTTTAACAGACATTTTATGGAGACACAATTAATAACGTCGTATATATTTTCTGTGGCCAAATGACTCATTTCGTGATGTTTGATTTAATTGCCAGTCACACCTTCATTTCCACCCTAATCTCACCCCTAATCGCTATAGCTTCCCCTCACTTTGAGGCAGAATTAAAGTTGATGAGGTAAAATATTTTGCCGTGAAAAGTCATTTCACACTAAATTCATAGGTTTTATTTTAGGGAATTCGTGCAATTTTCCCCAATTTTCTCCCCGCCGTCAATAATATATGGTTTTATCGAAGAAATTTCTCGCGACTCTGCAATGGAAATCATCATTAAGTCTTACGAAATTTTGGAGTAATTTTCTTCATTCAATCCAGTGAAAGAAAAATGTCTTTCGCTAATGGGTACAAATTGGTATAATATAGCATTACATATTGGATTAATGTCGCTGTTTTTTGGGACTCTATTTAGCTCAGACGTGCTCCGAACGTGGCAAATGATGTTTTAGTACACATTTCACTATTCACAGCAGTGAAATTACAAAGTTATGTGTGGAGAAAGCGCGCTTTTGTTGGGGGGATTTTGAATGGCTTCATAGTTGATGGAGACGCCTGGTTGGCGCATTTCAGCAATGTAATTTTGGTGCATACATTTCAGGCTCTTTCTCTTCAGCTTTCCAATCAAACTTGTAATAGCATTTTGAGCAAATATCTGCTTATGACATCATGTTGTACTCGAATTCCGACAGCGCATGGGCGTGTTTTGATTGTAAAAGCGTAAATATTGCTCTTATTCGACACTTTATTCACACAAATTTGACATATAACAATTATTTACACATTTATCTACATCAGAGCGTAGTTTTCCGTCTAATTTCATCCTAACTTACTCAATATAACATATACATATGATGGAATTAATTTAATGAAGGGGGTTTTGAATTGGTAATTATTTATTATTCCCTAGTAAATCTCAACGGAGTGACTAATTCTCGTTCTCTGTCGCATTTGCGGTCGCATCACCGGTTTCATTCAGTTGCCTTCGTCCTCGGTAGGTTGTTGGCATGTCCTGCAGCCAGAGATCCTTCACCAAATCCGCTCCCTTTTCGCCAATCATGATGACTGGGGCGTTGATGTTGCCACTCGTGATCACTGGCATGATGCTGGCGTCGATCACTCTCAGGCCCTTGATGCCGTACACCCTGAGCTGGGGATCCACCACGGCGTCTGGGTCCCAGGAGGGGCCCATCTTGGTCGTGCCTGACATGTGATAGATGGTCATGGTGTACTGCCGAATGGCGCATTCCCAGTATTCGTCCGTGAAGTGGGGCAAGTGCTTGCAATTGGGCAGCTGTTTGCTGTGAAATCTGGCGCCAAATTGCTTCATGGCCACGGTTTCGGCAAGGGTGAGAGCGGCTTTCACGCCCTCGCGCAGCACATTCACATCGTCCTGATGTGTTAGGTAGTTGTGATAGAGTAGAGGATGTCTGAGGGGATTCTTCGAGTGGAGAATCATGTAGCCACGACTGCGTGGACGAAGCATCATGGGGAAGACGCCAAAGACGTCTCTGTTGTTGATTTCACTGAAGACTTCGTTGTAGAAATCGTCACTCAAGCCGTGAGCATTTTTGATTTGAGTGCCTCCGTCGGAACTTGTCGAGGCACTCGTGAGCATAAATTCAATGTCTGGCCAATCATCTGTCTGATTAGCGTATTTTGTGCTAATAAATCCCACCGCCTCGAGTCCAATACTGCTCGTGAGCGGTCCATCTTCTGTTGTGGCATATCTGATGGCTGAGTTGAGATTCACGAGGCGTCCCATGACAAGACTGATGGGTTTGTCCACTAGAAACGCCAATCCACCCACGGCGATGTGATCCTGAAGATTCTGACCGACTCCTGGCAGTGGATGAATGACTGGAATTCCGACTTTACGCAGATTATCCGGCGGACCAACGCCGGAGAGCATCAGCAAGTGTGGTGATCCAATGGCGCCGGCAGACAGAATAACTTCTCTCTTGGCAAAGACCTTCTGATGTTGGCCGTTTCTTATGAATTCCACGCCAAGAGCTCTCTTGGTTGCTGGATCAATTATGACTCGAGTGACGTGACTGAAGAGGGCGACGTGGAGATTCTTCCGCAGACGAACTGGCCTGAGGAAGGCTTTGGCTGTGCTGCATCGCGTTCCTCGACGCATTGTGAACTGATACAGGGCGAATCCCGTCTGTTGCTCACCATTCACATCCACAATGTCGTAGCCCATCTCTTCGCCGGCCTGGAGGAAGGCGATGCCCAAGGGGGTGTTGTACGGAGAGTCCTGGATAGTCAGATAGCCTCCTGAGAGAGAGAACAATCAAAAGATAGCTGTTAAAATCTTACTTAAAGTTGTCTAAGATGTATAAATTACCAGTTCCGTGTTGTCTCTTATTCACAGCTAAGTAGGGATTCCGCTGGTCTTCGGACTTCCTGAAATAGGGCAGGATGTCCTCATAGCCCCATCCTGGATTGCCCAATTGCTCCCACTGGTCAAAGTCTCTCTTGTTGCCGCGAATGTACAGCATTGTGTTGAGGACACTCGAGCCGCCGAGGACTTTTCCTCTCGTCCAGCAACATCTCTGATCAATCATGGCTTGACAGGCGGATTTCTGTGGTTGCGTCCTGTGTTAAAAACCCAAAAGCAAATGATTATAGTTTGAAGTTTGAATTCACTCTAAAGCGCATTCAATATTTGCACAGTGATTAATCACTGTTTTTTCTCTTCGTGTGTCACACATATTTTTCAATGGATCTACGAGTGTTTGAACTTGTCATATTTGCTTGCTGTATCAATTTTGTTGGAGCTTTAAACGTCTGTCTGTGCGTCGGCTCAACCACGTGGCGTAAACTTTCAGTTTTTAATCGAGAAAGATCAACAATAAAGAGAATGAGAAAGAGAGAGAAGGAAAAAGAGCATAAATGCGATTGTTGGTGTGTGTTTGATTTTGTAATTATTTAGCTATTATGGTAAGAAAAGTACAATCAATTCAGTGACAGACTCAACAGCTTACAACCGGCTTTTGGCGGGCAAAAAAAGGCAAGATTTTGACTGTGAGAAGATTGTTAAATGTACTTCTTAACAGCTTTTACTGCTTGTCTGGCGTTGACCGAAAAGCCCATTTCCAGGAGTGTCTCAACAGACTTTCAAATTTCTGAGTGGACAATTTACATTTAAATGTGCTACAATTCAAATGTGATTGAGAAATTGACATTTCACATCACACAAAAAGAGCTCAACAGTGTGGAAGTATAAAATCTAATGCCAAGAGCAATTTTTCCGCAATAACAAAGTATGAAATTTTCATTCGGTTCAAGTTTAATGTATTCAGAGAGCGACACACGTGAAATTAATTGGTTATGGCGTTATTTCCCCTCTTTTTATTTGGGCTTCAAAAACCAATTGCACGAGAAGTGAAGAAGTGGAAAATTCTTTAACGCCATAATTTAACAACATTTTCTCAATATATAGTATATAAAAATCACTGAAGAAATTTGACCGAATTTTTCCTTTCTCAAAGCACACAAATGTTTCAAAATACTGAATAGCTAATGACGAAGTTACTCAAATACAATTTTTTTCTCCCCTCTGCATTATTATTTATGAATATATCTCCGGAGGTGTGAAAAAAAACGAGATTTGATGTCTTGTGAAGCATGCGTTGACGATGATTGAAAGTGAGCGAGACATAAAATTAATTGCAGAAGGCAATTTTTGTCCATTAAAGGCAAATGTTGCCAATATTGATTGCATAAAAATTGGAAATTTGTGGGTCACTTTGGTGGTGATTTTTTTTTTAAAGCAAAGAAGAAGATGCAACAACAAAAGAAGTGTATTGTTATGTTCGTTCATGTAATTGCAGAACGAGAAATTTGCTTTGGTGCAAAGAAAAAGAAAAGAAAACAAGCAATTGCACTTTGTAATACATATTTCGTAAGGATGATCATTTGTGACAAAAAGGCACGCATTGATCATCACGGAATGTCAATGAGTAAGAAAAATGTCGAATAAAATGGGTGAATTAGCATGGAATGGTGAAAAAAAGAAAGTGATTTGTCAGTTGGTGAAATATGAGGGGAAATCGCGGAAAAATCTATTTTAACGGTGAAATGATGGAAGTATTTTAATGAAATAATTTAATTAACAATGTTTCTTTCGTAATTAGCAAGACACAAATCATATGTCTTAAGGAAAATGTCATCGTTTGTGCGTGTTTTCGGAACACTTTTTTTTCAGTTGACAATGAGAAATGGTGACAAAAACACTCTCTTTTGGTGAAACACGTGCAATTATAGGTGAATTTTAGCATATTACAAGCAGAATTAACATGACTCAAATTGAATTTAATTTGCAGAATTTGAAACTGAAATTAGAGTAACGTTTTGTGTTTATTCTCTCTTCTACATATTTATTCAAGCGCGTTTTGTGGTGTAAAACAATTTAATGTGCCGCCCAAATACCACAATATTCAGCGAACTTGGCGAACTTTCCTTTTCGTTTAGACACTTTGTATGAATTAACAATGAAACTCAATCACGCACGGCATTTTAAAAGCTATTTTGCAAACAGAGTGCAGCGAGGAAGAGAAATATAATAAAATGTGTGTAGGAAGAAGGAGAAAGACGTGAAATTTATAATCTTTGTCACTTATCTGATTACTTTTTCTTACATAATAATTAAAGAGACATTCTCAAATTGAAAAAAAGACCAATTTCTTCTTCACAATTTCCAGTTTGACTGGCTCAAGTCAGACTTTTGCCTTCACTTTTATTGAGTGAATCACAGGAAAAACACCCTTTCGAATAGAGATTAATATAAATGGATGAGAAAAGACTCTGAATTTTATCCGCATTTTCGTGAGATGAAAAAGAAAGTTATGCTCTCTTTATTTCATTTCTGTTTTCTGTGTTGAATTACACAATTTGCAAATATCAAAAGCGTGTGAGTCAATGCCAATCGAGGCATAACGCAGAATATTCGTGAGTGTTTTTGGACAGCAAAATGTCTTAAATATGGGTGCATCGGTCGATAAAATTTTGAATTAATTCAATTCACTTTTTTGGACAGAGAGATTACTTAATAATGTTGATGGAGGTCGATTTCGCGTGAATCACACAAGTGAATGTCAAAAGGAGAAGTGTGTTTCAACTGAGAAATTTTTGTTGTTATTTGTAACAATTTCAAAGCAAACAACAATTTCTTTGCACGATTTTGTGTCCTTAAACTCCACATCGAGTTTGTCTTGCGTCATTGAAGCAAATTTCTTGGTGCGATTGCGAATTTTGGACTCAAGAAAGGGCGAATTACAACAATCTCTTCTCACCTGTATTTCCAATCCAATTTGCTCTTGTGGAGGTAGAGTGAGAGTATGGGAACGTCGGAGATTTCTGTTTCATGGCCACCAGCTTCCAGAAGGAGCACTTTCCAGTCGTGAATCTCTGATAGGCGCGACGCCACGACGGATCCCGCTGATCCTCCGCCGACCACAATGAAATCGTACTCATTGTCGACCTGCTTGACGTTGAAGGGTCGATTCTCTGGATCGAAGAGGTCGTAGTTGTAGAAGATGAGGGATGAGATGAGGATGGGCAGGACGGCAAGTTTGCCGAGACCTCCGATGCCCGCGGCGGCGGAAATGGCGCCGCCAAACGCCTTGGCAGCGGCTCCAATGCCAACCACAGACTTCCCAACGCCCACAACAGTCGAGGCGGCACTTCCAATAGCCGCGACGGCACCTTTAGCGGCGCCAAGGGCTGGTACTATCTTGGGCAGAGCCTTGACCACAGTTGCACCCACTGAGACTACGGGAATTGTCATAATTTCTGCCCTAATTTACTTTCCAATTAACCAATTGAACTCTGGGACTCTGTGCGAAGTCTTCGTGTCCGGGTAGGGAGGAATATCCTCTGAATGTCCTTTGAATTGTGTCTCAGCATCAAAATCGCGTGAAATGGACAAACTTTTCTCGCAACACCAACACATAAGATGACTGGAGGCGCGTCTGACACTCTGTGATGAATATCATGAGGCAGTCACGGAAGCTCAGTGCCATTGTGGGACTCCCTGAAGCACACACTTTTGCGGAAGTGCATTAATCACAATTATCTACTAAGAAACATTTAACGAGATGCACTCGAGTGAAGACACAGAGTCATTTTTCCTTTGCACAAATTGACGCTCAATCATATAGTTTTGCTGGACTTTTTCATATACGAAATCTGAGTGTCTACGTGCACCTGGTCATCACCAGGTGAATTTCGTCACCTGACACTAAACAACGGAGCTTACGAGAGTGGGCAAAAATCACAGACACAAAACCACTTTCTCTGGATATCCAAAGACGAGGAGCAATGTGCTGAAAATGTCTGCACAGCCAAGTGGATGGAAATAAACTGGCTCGCTTGATGATTTCTTTCGGACTCTATTGACTGCATTTTGGCCTTCCCGCCAATCTCTCTTGCCGCCGCCGTGGAGATCTCGTTCGCCGCTCGTGCACGAGGAATTGTATGTATGCTGTCGACTTCAGAGTACATGAAACACGTTCGAAATGGAATTATGCAATTGAATATTTGAGAAGACTCGCTTTTTTCCTCCTCGCAATCTCTCTCTCTCTCTCTTTCTTTCTCTCCCACTCTCTCTCTTGCATTTCTCTCCACCGCGGATGACGCACTCCTGCAATTGGGGTGGGGGAGTGGAGTCGAAGGGAGGGCAAAAGTGGCATGAAATTGATGTAGGTTCACAGCGAGCCAAAATAGCTAAAAAAGCAGTTAATTTAGCTAAAAAGTGTTAAAAATACTGAGCTAAAATTTCAGCAGCATTCGAAGAAAAAGTGCTAAACCGAAGTATTGAAATGGAACCGATCAGCGATCGCAGCGGATGATGGAGGAAACTTAATAGAGTTAAAAATACATCAATTTACAGCACATTTTTCATCAATTTTCTTAGCAATATTCCCAATTTTTCCGCTAAATATTATGCTCAATTTAGAGATTTTTTCCGATGAAAATTTAGCAGGATAACAGGAAGTTCCATGGACATCCTTTCATCCGGTTTCCCGTGACATATAAAAATATGTTTGTGGCCTAAAAGGTTAGAAAGAATGTAAATCTCTCAATTTTGAGGTTATTTGCATGGCGCTATTTATACAATTAACTTCTTTGACATCTATTGACTGATCGCCGCTATGTTCGCTAATGCATCAACCAAATGGCTTAAATTTGGGCGGAGAATAGCTCAAAAATCAACTATTTCAAGCTCAACTTTTGAGATTTAGCATTTTGTGTTTGCTGGGTTCGCTTGAAAGGGATTTGATTGAACCGCCGCGGAATGATTAAAACGCCCAAAGGGTCAATTTATACACAGATAATCGATATGATTGCCAATTCTAATCTCTGATTTAATCAATCTCTTCTCTTCTCTTCTCTTTTCCAGGTAAATTTCCACATCTTTCTCAATTTAATGCACGATGTGAAAGGATTTTTCAGCAATGTAACTGCGTGAGTATTAGTGAACAATTTCTTCTGAAATGCAAGGAAATTGTCCACAAAGCCATAAGACATTTATGTAAGATTGTAAATCGATAAAAAATATCTCTATACTCAATATTGATTGTTGATGATCAAAATTTAGATATTGCAAATTTTTCTTCAATTAATCTGCGAATTGTTATGCAACATTCGTGTGGTTTTTCGGGCCACGCGATTACTTTTTGTCAATGACTCTCTATTAATGTGAAATTGCATTCCTTAGACGAGAAATGATTTGAGGATTTTATTGGATATAATTTATTCATATTCAACTGTTGATGTTTTATTTATTACGCACTGACTTTCTGTGCGTGGTGAAAATTTGTCATTGCGCATGTTGCGTAAGAAGTGGGAAATTTGAAGCGAGTCACATTAAAATTATGTGCAACAATTCTTGCATTATTATTATGATTTCTTTGTGAACGGAAGTTGAATATATTTTTTTTGTCTCTCTGCCCTTTTTAATTACAAATCTCAGCGGTTAGATGAATGTATTTTCTCTCTCACACGATCTGCACATTATCTCTTTGCATAACTCAACATGAGCTGATTATTTTCTGCGTGGTGGTGAAAAGAGAGCCAAATGTAATGTACAACCTTGACCAGCATTTGGTACTCTACCTTATTCCGCCGTTATTCACTTTTTCCCCCTTTCGATCATCATCTGAAGACGCTCGCGCGCAGCGTCTCAAATCAATTTGAATGTGTGCAAGTGAAAAAAGCGAATGTGTGTAGAAATTCAATATCTCATTATATCTCTGCGCTGTCGATGTAATAAATAGCATTTCTTATTTGCACACACTTCTTCTCACACTTCCAATATTGATTCACATATATGAGATAATTATATTGATGAAGAAAACTTTACATTATTATTGAACATATCCAGTAGATAAGTACACTATTTTTTCCTCTACGGAAAAGTAATGCTTTATTTATAATTTCAACATGTGTATTAAAACACATTTAATGAGCAAAAGCTTCTGGTTTCTTTGACTTTGCTTAACAACCATGAAGTTTTAATTGTCAATGAATGTTAAAAATGCAGCAAAAAGCTGCAGATTGTTAACGACACTTTTCCGTCTTGTGTTGTCACACAAAGACGAAAAAGTCTGTGCGTTAGAAATTGGGTTTTCAACCTTGACACAATGCATGATCTTTTTCTCCTTTTTGCTCTCTATTTGAACCGCGACATTTGACAGCATATAAATAACTACAAATTGTGCAAAAGAAAATATCAATTGTTCTCTCAATTCAGAGGCAAATCTTCGTGGGAGTTTGTCGATGGTTTTTGAGAGTGCTTATTACTACTCTTGAGTATAGAGGGGTTTGTTATTGCGATATAAGAGATACAACACATGAAGTTATTGATCGTGAAATTTCATTATACAATTGACTAAAAGAAAACCTCCTTAAGCCACATCATAAAATTGCATTATCAGATGTGTTTATGCAAAAAGAAATTAACATATTTGCTTTTATGGAATGATTTACCCCACATTTTGTACAAAGAAAGCTTCAGTTTTGGAAGAATAAGTCGTATATACAAAAACATTGTCTATTTTCTGTAAATTTCGTGGCATTGCGCAATGTTTTTCAAGAGAGATGCCCATCTTGATGATCTTTTGTTGTCTCCCGCCAGGGCAGACAATATATGTAGTATTGGGGAGTTGAAAATTGCATTTGATATTCCTTCCGTCTGTGAAATGTCAGACATGAAGAAGAGAGAAAAGGCTTAATTTTTTGACAAGATTGTGTGAAATTTAATGCTGGAACTCTTGCGTAAGATGCTATCAAAATTTTCTTTTCTTGCGAGCACACCAAAAATTGTTCACTTGAGGGTGTGATGGTCAATTTAGAGAGAGAGAGAGAGACTCAATGAATGGTTGTTGTTTTATGTGCATTTTGACGGCTCTTTGTGGTCGCACTTAAGCGATATCATTGGAGGCAAAAGCATGCATTTTTCAATTTGTAATGCAGAGGAAAGTTTTCTTTCAATCAACCATGCGTGCTCATCAGAGGGGGAATTCAGTGGAATTGTGTGAATGAACGATTGCTAAATTGAATTTCTATGGCAAAGAGAGGATTTAAAGCCCTCAATTACCATTGCAGAATCAATCTCAGATTGTCGTTGGGAGGAAAAATCACAGATGGAATATGGGAAATTTTTTATTATTCCAATTACACTGTGTGTTACAAATCGTCTTTCTTCACAGCTTCTTTGTCAATCTTCTGCCAATGAGACGCGATCATATCGGCCGCTTTCTCACCAACCATAATTGTGGGAGCATTTGTATTTCCGCTGGGAATGACTGGCATAATGCTGGCATCTGCCACTCGAAGTCCCTTCACGCCTCTTACGTGCAATTCGTGATCCACAACAGCTTCGGGGTCTGATTCTGGTCCCATTTTGGTCGTTCCAACTGGATGGAAGCAAGAGGCGGTCATGTGACGCACATAACACTCCCAGTAGGCGTCAGAGTCCTCTTCCAGGATGTCGCAGGCGGACAATTTCACCCTAACTGGCTGAGCTTCGTGCTTTTGATAGTACTTCGTTTGTGACATTTTCTGCAGAATCCTGATTGCTCTTATAACAGTCTCAATTTCACTCTGATCCTCGAGATAGTTGGCTGTAATTTTGGGATATTCCAGAGGATCTTTGCTGCGCAGTTCAATTTTGCCAGGAACTTTTTGTCTCATGAGAACAATGGCGTGAACAAGAATATCTCCCCTTTTGTACTCTTCCAAAAGTGAGTTCGTAATTTCCTCATTGTAGCCAAATCTTGTGATGAAGGTGGAAAAGGACGGAAGTCCTCTGAGAAAGTGGGCGTTAAGTATTTGAACATCAGGCAGAGTGCTTGTGTCATTTTGAGTGTTAATGAAGCCCATAATATCTGTCACACCAATTCCTGATAAAGGTCCAATTTGATGGAGAATGTAGAGGAAAATATTGTCTGCAATTTCTCTTTTGGCCGCTTCAGCGTCAAATCGTTCTGAGGTGTGGAATTTGAGGTAGAACGGAATAAATATGTGATCTTGCAAGTTCAATCCAACGGACAAATCCTTCTTCACATCTATTCCCAAGGATTCGAGGTGTTTCTTGGGTCCAATTCCTGAATTCATGAGAATTTGTGGAGTATTAATAGAACCTGCTGATAAAATAGTTTCCTTCGACGATTTCACGGTAAATGTCTTGTCTTTGTACTGAAATTCCACTCCTTCAGCGTCTCCATTGTCGTTGAGAAGAACTTTGGTCGCTTGAGCATTTAGAATGACATGCAAATTAGTGCGATTCTCGGCGGGTTGGAGAAAGGCTTTGGCTGCACTGTATCTTCGACCATTTGCCACAGTGCCCAGAGTTGCGCCCCAACCCATCTGATCAGCACCGTTGACGTCGTCATTCTTGCGGAATCCAACACTTTGAGCCCCATTCAGGATGACATTCCGCATAGTGTCCGTGGCGCTGTAGAACGTCCCCGTCTTCAGTGGGCCTCCAATGGCGTGATAATCACTGCCTGACATCTCAAACAGATCACTATTGCCATTATCTTGAGACTTCTTGAAGTATCTCAAGACATCCTTGTATTTCCATCCAGTGTTGCCCAATGCTTCCCAATTATCATAATCCTGGCGATTGCCTCTGACGTACAGCATCACATTGATGCTGCTGGATCCGCCGAGGATTTTTCCACGTGGCCAGGAAATACCCTCGGACGCCAGGCCAGCCTTATCGGACTTCTCAGTGCGATATTTCCAATCATATTCAGATCCTACCATGTCAAAAACCATTGCTGGTATCTGTGATAAGATACGATAGCAATTTATCAGCTCAATGCAAAATACTTTGTGATAGGTTCCTTTGGGATTACCTCTGATTCAAGTGGAGGATCTCCGCCGGCTTCCAGCAGCAAAACCTTCCACTTTGGGTTCTCACTCAAGCGACTGGCCACCACGGATCCAGCTGATCCTGCGCCGACGACAACGAAGTCGTAATTGTCAAGAAATCCTGGAGGAGATTAATGTCTTAGATGTTGAACATTGAGAGTTATGCATTGCTTCTCACCTTGTTCAAGCAACGTCTCGCCAACATCTCTCTTTGCCATTGATGGCGGATGAATATTGCACTGAGATAAAATGAGTTGATGTAGCAATATTCTCGTGAGAACACTCATTGCACCCATTTGGGTTGAATTGCACGACACTGGCGCGATCTCCATGTTTTCTTATTTTTCACTCAGTGAATTTCTCAAGAAATCTGTAGGAAAAATCTATTAAAGTGTGTAACAAGGCAATTATTAAACTACAATTAATTCATACCGAGAAGTTTCTGACTGCAGAAGCCCTTCTGTCTTTCAAGACACTTGCCGCAATACTGAGAGAAAGACCACAACTATACACACACTCTGCCGAACACATTGCCTCTGTCTTTCCCATTATCTTATCGTCTATGCCTGAGTGATTGAAAGGCAAAACATTGAAATTTTTATATACTTTATTAGCCTGTGGAAGCTGAAGCATAAATGGGGGGAATTAACCAAGTTCGATAAGGTGGCAAAGTGCTCACAGTTCTTCGTGCCTTTTGGTGTCATACTTCCAATCCTCCTTGATAAGATCCGCGCCTTTCTCCCCAATCATGATCACTGGCGCATTTGTATTTCCCGACACGATGTCAGGCATGATGCTGGCGTCGACGACTCTCAGTCCTTTCACGCCCTTCACCTTCAGCCGCGGATCCACGACGGCCTCCTTGTCCGACTCGGGGCCCATCTTGGCCGTTCCCACGGGATGGTAGAGAGTCGTGGCCATGTGTCTGGTGTAGCACTCCCAGTACTCGTCGCTGTCGTACTCCAGCCGATCGCAGTCGGACAAGGGAAGTCTTATGTAGTGTCCTTCGTGCCTCTTGAACGTATCCGTGCCGAGGAACTTCATGTACGTCCTCACGCCCCGAATCAGCGTGTCAACGTCGTCCTGATCGTCCAGATAGTTGGCGAAGATCTTCGGATAGATTTCAGGTCGCGAGTCTTTCAGTTCGATGAATCCTTTGGACTTCTGGTTAAGTAGAGTGATTAAAACTGCGCCAACATCGCCTTCCTGACTGAAATCCTTGACAGTCCTCGCGATGGTGTGATCGTAGCCGAAAGCACCGAAAGCGTACACGAGTTCTGGAGCCTTTTTGTTGAAAGAGAAGTGATGATATTGGATGTCTGGGAAGACACTGTCATTCTTAGTGTTCACAAAGCCCATGCTGTCTGATGTTCCGATGCTTCCTAGAGGCCCAGTTCTGTGCATCAGATATTTGTACAGCACTTCCCCAGCGGCTTCAGGAGTCCTCGCAACAGCACTTGATTTGTGGAATTGGAAGAAGAGCGGTACAATGACGTGATCTTGTAGGTTTTGACCGACTGGCAAGTCTTTCACCAGAGGAATATTGTGTTCTTTAAGGTGGTTCTTGGGTCCAATGCCGGAAAGCATGAGCATTTGAGGAGTATTTATAGCGCCACCAGAGATTACAATTTCTTTTCTGGCTTTAGCAACGAGAGTCTTCTTCCCGTTCACATTAACCTTAACTCCAGTGGCAGTTTTGCCATCAAACTCAACATTCAGAGCAAGAGCATTTTTAACCACGTGCAAGTTCGGACGATCCTTGGCAGGAATCAGGAAGGCTCTTGCTGTGCTCATTCTCACGCCTCCACTGGCAGATCCTTGAGCGATTCCGAAACCGAGATGCTCTTCGCCATTGAAGTCTTTGAGGTATTTGTATCCCAAGTCTTTGGCAGCATCAGGGAATATCAATTTAAGTGGTTCGGTATTTGCGAACCAGGAGACTTTCAGTGGTCCGTTTTTATTGTGGAATTTGCCACCATGCGCGTCAGCAACTTCAGGATTCTCGTTGCCCTCGGATTTCTTGAAATAATAGAGAACATCCTTCCATCCCCAGCCAGTGTTGCCGAAACTCTCCCACCGATCGTAATCTCTGCGATTGCCTCTGATGTAATTCATGGCGTTGATGGAACTCGTGCCACCGAGGATTTTTCCGCGAGGCCAGAAACTTCCGCCAGCAATTGATTTACTGGCTTTGCTGTCATATTCAGTTCTGTATCTCCAATCGTAATCAGAATCTTGCAAGTAGTAAAATGTCGCTGGTATCTAGGAAATGAATCAACAATTAATGTCAGACGGAAAATATATTATGTAACAGAGAAACTCACTTCAACTTCCACTGGAGGATCTCCGCCAGCCTCTAGAAGCAACACTTTCCAGTCAGGATTCTCGCTCAGTCGACTGGCCACAACAGCGCCGGCTGATCCTGAGCCAACGACAATGAAGTCGTATTCTTCAAAGCCTGTTGGAGAATTGATATTCGCAGTCTGCACGGAATTTATTGAAGTGTCTTTAAAAAGTACCTTTCTCAAGCACTGACGGTCCGTAATCCTTTGGCCACATTTCCGGGGATGAAATTGCGCATTGCGCTGAGACAAGAGTATTGATGAGGAGACCAAGAAGTTGATTAACAGGCCCGGCGCTTTGGGCAGCGCAAGGCAACGTAAGCGGATCCATTCTTCACAATTCTCCTTATTTTCTTCACTTACTTTTCACACTTTGACCTTGGAAATGACTTTGAATAGGTCAATTTGATATTAGAGAACTTTTCCGCAACAAAACTCCTTCTCGACTGGCGCTTAATAAATAGGCGAACATGGTTTATAAGCTGCACATAAGCGAATTCTCGAAAATCTTATCTCTTGTACTCGAAAGAGATAATTCTGTGATAGAACAAAATTCAGTGATCTTTCAGTTTTACTTGCGGTGTGTGTAATTTATAGTCTGCATTATCTGCAATGTATTTGCAGTAGGTAAATAAAATTTATGTCCGTATTTTGCGTCCCAAGTAAAGCTCTGCTGTTGAGCTTTGCCTTATCAGGAAAATAGTATTTTTAACACAGTATCGTTTAGAGTAATATTATATCATCACAAATTTCGTGAATGACATTTTAGAGTTCATTTGGGACTGATATGATATTGCTTTTATCATGTGAAATGAAGATGAGTAGCGAATTTCGTACTTTATTTTATATATTCTTTTATTGGCACAATTCACTTACGCACTGCAGAAGTGGAATACTACAGATATTGCTGATCGACATCTCAAGAGGCGCTATAAGAGCCCTTGACAAAGCGAGGGTGGAACTTAGGGATTTTTTCTAAATGGTGTGTTAATTTTCTACTGAAATTACTTTGAGAAAATATATCGTTTATTTCCTGCTTTCATATTTTAATATGTCTTGTAAAAAATTATTTAGTGATTGCTTCAAAAGCATTTTATGAATATTCTTGAGGTCAGAAACAATTGTAGAAATGATTATGATTATTTAATTGTCTTTGGCCATTCAACTGTTAAAAATAATGTATTACTTATACATATCCAAAGGGCAATGTTTCATCTATATTTGCTTTTTATCTTATCAGCTTTGAATTAGTGATTGACAGATTAAACTTTGAATTTTACTTTATTAACCTGTGGAAGCTAAAATAAAAACGATGGGTATTAAGAATGACTGATAAGGTAGCAAAATGCTCTAATTTTGGCTCTCTGCAAAAGTATGATTTTGCAATTCTACAATCCTATGTACATACATTCCGCTAAACATCAATCTTTCTTTAATATTGTATAATAGTTAAACTCGTTTAGGCTCATTAACTGGTCTCGCTCTCTCCCTATTGCGAGAGATAATGCCGTGACAGAAGGTGAACTTCTGATGAGCTTTCATTCTTATGTAATGATCCTAATTTATGATATTTATTATCTGCAGAATATTTAAAGTAGGTAAATAAAATTTGTTTGTACTCTGCTTTATTACTTAAATAAAATTATAAATGCAATCTTTTTGAAAAATTTCAATTATATCGCACATTGCATGAGTGACACTTTAGATTTCACTTGAAGTTGATATGATAAAATGTATTATCATGCAAAATAAGGATGAGTAGACAAGTTTATGCTTTGTTTTGTATTTTCGTGTGATGTTGATTTATTGGTTCAATTTACACACTACAAAAATAAAGATAATAAATACTACAGAAATAGATGAAAGATTTTTCAAGAGGTATTGAGACTATTGAGATATTGTAAGACTCTTTTATTTCGTTTACAGATAAAGTGTTTGTTTTGGCTAAATGAAATGTTCTTCTCTGTTTTTGCACTCAAAAGATATTTATTTTGATAAGTTTGTGACAATTATCAAATATTGTCTTTACAATTCTTCATGTTTTGCTCCCTTTAACCAGTCTTCCTTAATCAAGTCTGCTCCTTTTTCACCAATCATGATTGTCGGAGCGTTTGTATTGCCAGAAATAATGTTCGGCATAATACTAGCGTCAATTACCCGTAATCCTTTGACTCCTTTCACTCTCAATCTGGAATCCACAACAGCGTCTGGATCAGAGTCTGGTCCCATCTTGGTCGTCCCGACAGGATGATAGAGAGTTGTACTCATGTGTCGAACGTAACATTCCCAATAATTATCGCTGCCACGTTTCTCTTTATTACATTCACGCAGAGGAATTTTCACCAATTTCGCCTCGTTGTTCTTGAAGGTTGGCGTGTCCAGCATTTTCAAGTACGTTTTCACACCGCGCACAAGTGTATCGACATCTTCTTGAGCATCGAGATAGTTGGCATTAATTCTGGGTTGATATTCTGGTTCGGGTCCTCTTAGATCGACACTTCCTCTTGACTTGGGATTGAGAAGGACTGTGAAGACTGATATGAGTTCAGCTTTTTGACTAGCATTGTGCAGTGTCTCGATGATAGAATGATCATATCCCATGCTATCGAAGGCGAATCTGACTTCTGCTGCCTTCTTCTTGAAGGAGAAATGGTGGTATTGAATATCGGGGAAGACACTGTCGTTCTTCGTGTTGACAAAGCCAACAGTGTCAATTGTGCCATGACTGGAGAGAGCGCCAATGTTGTGAATAAGATACATATAAACGGCCTCAGCGACAGCTTCTCTTGTCTTCTCGGCGGCACTCGATTTGTGGAACTTAAAGAAGAGTGGCACAATGACGTGATCTTGCAGATTATGGCCAACGGGCAAGTCTTTCACGACAGGAACTTGATTATTTTGCAAATGGTACTTCGGACCAATTCCCGACAGCATCAGGATTTGGGGAGTATTTATTGTTCCTGCTGACAAAATCACTTCTTTCTTGGCTTTGGCGACAAGAATTTCCTGAGCAGCTAAATTCCATCTAACTCCACTCACATCGCCTTTATCGTCGAATTCTAAATTCAGAGCGTAAGCATTTTTAACAATGTGAAGATTCGGACGATCCTTGGCAGGTATGAGGAATGCCTTGGCTGTACTGACTCTTCTGCCTCTTTGGATGGTTCCTTGCACCTGACCGAAGCCAATGTGCTCCTCACCAGTGAAATCCTTTACATGTTTGTAGCCCAAATCCTCGCCAGCCTCTATAAACACTTGCTTCAGTGGATCACCGTCTGGGAATAATTCAACATTCATCGGTCCATCTGTTCCGTGAAATTTCCCACCATCGGCACTGGCGATGTCATCATTTTGATTCGCTTCGGACTTCTTGAAGTACTTGAGGACGTCTCTCCATCCCCAACCGGGATTTCCTTGTGCTTCCCATTGATCATAATCCCGACGATTGCCTCGCATGTAAATCATGGCATTGATGCCACTCGATCCACCCAACATTCTTCCTCGAGGCCAGAAACTACCCATTGGAATTGCTTTGCTGGCTTTTCTGCTCGGATCTGCTCGATAATTCCAATCAAAGTTGGATTGTTGGAGGAAAAAGAATGTCCCAGGAATCTGAGAAGAGAATTTTGAATGTTTTAATGACATTTTAATGGACAGTTTGAAATTATTACTGACTTCAGACTCAACAGGAGGATCAATTCCTGCTTCTAGAAGCAGAATTTTCCACTCTGGATTTTCACTCAAGCGATTTGCCACGACAGAACCAGCTGATCCTGCTCCAATAATTATAAAGTCATATTCTTCAATGCCTGGAAGAAGGAAAGAAAGAAATAGAGTAATTTCTGCATAAGAAAATACTCACAAAATTCACCTTTTTCCAAAATAGTCGGTCCGTAATCTTGAGGCCACATTTCTGGAGGTGAAAGAGCACATTGAGAAGTGAGGAGAGTGTTGATAAGAAGGGCGATAAGTTGATTTGCCGGTCCCGCACTGTGGGTGGCACATGGCACAACGAGGGGATCCATACGTCACGGCCAATCTGCGAATTGAACGTGTTGAATGTACACGAGTATGTGTGATTTGTTTCACTCAGCGAAAATAGACAAGAACTGGAAAGTCCGAAACAATTATTTTCTGTATGAACAATACATGCTTATTTGACTGTGAAACTGTTTGTCAATATTTACAATTTTCTGTGCTGTTTTTTTTTCTCAAAGAAACCAACCGGAATAGTGTTATTTCTATTCTACTTTTTTTTACTTGTAACCTTGGAAATTAAATTTGGATGGAGAGAGACTTGGAGAAAAGTCAACCGTTCTACTCTGAATCTCTTTGACTACTGACACTGAGAAAAGTCAGGAGTCAATTTGTGCTTCTCGCATACAGAAATAAAAACTACAATGATTTTTACAATCTTATCGTGTGTACTTCGTCGAATTAATCCCAGATATTAAGGAAATTATACTGCTGATTAGTTCAGAAAAATGTCGGCGGCAGTTGCTTGGGAAGAATCTTGCAATTATTCACAAATTCAATTAGATAATTTATGCCAAGTTTCGTTACATAGTTTAGTAAGTATTTGTACATAATGTGAACCTTATCAGGAAGTATAATTTTAAACTTGCAGATATTTCTATGAGTATTTGTATTCAATATCTCGCTGTGCTTCACACACGACAATTTATGGTGTTGGTTTGATGATTGATATGAATTGTGTTATCGAAATGTTGCAAATTCGGTGGTGTGAAAATCACCAGTTGCCTTTCAAAAGATAATTAGACAATATTCTTGACTTGGATAGAACGCAATGAAATTATTAATTCACAGAATAGAAGCATATTTAGGCGTCTGAAGCACTAAAAATTCCTGATATTCAAATTTAGAGTCAACAATAGACGCTCAATTTCTCATATTGATACACTTTCATTATTTGCAAAATACTTAGTGTTGAGTTTCACTCTTGATTAGCATTGGAAAACCTTCTCATCTCAACACTCACAAACCATCAAGTCACGTTTTCTCTCTTTTGTATGCAACATAAACAGAGATCATGAGACTAACACATGAGTTTCTGTTCAGAAATCCGGCTTTTCTGTCGAATGTTTTTTTTTTCCTTCTTTTATTCTCTCTCTGAAAAGGGTGATAAATAGAAATGCTTTTTTGAGAAGTGTGATAAAAATAGATTCCTGCATAATAAATCACTTTATTTCCATAAACTCATTGGATTTTATAATGTTACAGAGCTGATTATTGTCGGTATAAAGAATTAGTTTCCTATTAGAGTTATTTTCTCATTGAAATACTTACATATTCACGTTTAATTCTCGAGTAGTCAATGTAAAAAAATTATTTCAAAGGAATTATGATTTATTTCACGATCATTTTTGAAGCAAAATTTTTCCTTTTACAGTTCTTCGCCGACTTTGTCATCTTTGCTGTCCTTACTCACCTCATCTTCATCTTTCTTATCAAACTTCTTCCATTCGTTCTTAATCATGTCTGCTCCCTTTTCGCCAATCATCACGGCTGCAGCGTTAGTATTTGCACTGATGATCACCGGCATTATGCTGGCATCAACGACACGGAGTCCTTTCACACCCTTCACCTTCAATTCGTCACTGACAACAGCGTCCTTGTCGGTGTCGGGACCCATCTTGGACGTGCCGACGGGGTGGTAAATGGTAGTTCCCATGTGTCTAATGTAACACTCCCAATATTCGTCACTGTCGAAATCCAGGAGCTCACAATTCTTCAGATCGATCTTGAACAAATCAGGATCGTGCATTTTGTAAGATTCTGTTTTCATGTACTCTTGAATGCGTCTTATTCCGCGAATTGCCGTTTCCAACTCACTCTTGCCGGCCATGTAGTTGGGGAAGATTTTGGGGTGATCGAATGGATCGGTGCTTCTGAGTTCAATCTTTCCCGGAACATCTTGCTTCAGCAGTGTCACCATGAGGCAGAGAATGTCGTATTTCTCATGAGCTTTCTCCATATATTTCTCAACCTCAGGCGCAAACTGCATTGCCTTCAGATATCCTTTCATTTGTGGTGCAATGCGACGGAAGTAGAGTGTGTGGAATTGAATATCAGGATATGGTAAAGAATTGTTGAGAGTGTTGTAGAATCCAACGAGATTGAGCATTCCAACGCCGGAAAGTGAGCCTTTGTTGTGCATCACATAGGAATAAACCATGTCAGACATGTCCTGAATCGTCGTTGTGGCATTTCTGTTCTTGTGGAAGCCAATGTAAATGGGAATGGCGAAGTGATCTTGAAGATTCTTACCAACAGCCAAATCCTTTTTCACTGGGATTTTCATTTCGTCAAGATGCGCCTTTGGACCGATTCCGGAAAGCATCAACAATTGCGGAGTGTTAACAGTTCCTGCTGATACAATTGTTTCCTTTGTGGATTTGACATTGAATTTCTTATCCTTCAGACTCAATTCCACTCCTTCCACTTCATTCTTCTCATTCACATTGACTTTCGTCACGTGAGCATTTTTCACGATGTGCAGATTTGTTCGATTTGCCGCTTGGATGAGGAAACCCTTCGCTGGACTGCATCTTCGGCCATTGTCCAGATTGCCGAAGACATTTGCCCAGCCAATGTGTTGATCAGCATTGATGTCCATGTGCTCGACTTCTCCCAACTCGAAAGCGCCCTCTTCCACGGCGATTTTCATCATTTCCACGGAATAGAAATAATCTATCTTCATGGGACCGCCTTTGGCGTGATATTGACTGCCGGTCAACTCGAAGAGATGCTCGATTTTGTTGTCTTCAGATCGCTTAAAATATCTAATGACATCTTGCCAATTCCACCCAACATTGCCCAATTCCTCCCACGTGTCGTAGTCCCTTTTGTTGCCGCGAATGTAGAGATTGGCATTGATGGATCCTGAACCACCCAAAAGCTTACCTCTTGGCCAATAGTGACTATTTTTGTAGCCCAATCCAGTGTTGGATTTCTCCGTGTAATATTGCCAATCTACTCTTGTTCTGAACAAAGCTAGTGGCATATTTGGGATCTGAGGAGGAGAAATATTACTTCTTAGCGGAGGAAAAGCAAAACGGGAAACAACACTTGACTTTGTGACGATGAGATGATTTTTTTTTGGGATGAAAAGCAATTGCAAAGTTGTGTGAATTTATCGAAGAAAGTGTTGAAAAATATTTATTTGAAAGTTTACAAAACAAACTCCACTTCATTTTACAGCTCTTCGTGCTTATTATCCTGCCAATCCTCCTTAATCATGTCAGCTGCTTTCTCGCCAATCATAATTGTGGGAGCATTTGTGTTGCCGGACACAATTTCGGGCATAATGCTGGCATCAACGACTCTCAATCCCTTTACGCCTTTCACCTTGAGTTGGGGATCCACGACAGCGTCCTTGTCTGTGTCAGGGCCCATCTTGGCAGTCCCTGCCGGATGGTAGAGTGTTGTGACCATGTTCCTAGTGTAGCATTCCCAATATTGCTCAGAGGCGAATTCGAGTTTATCACACTCTGGAATGGGCAATTTGACGTAATCTCCTTCGTTTGCCTTGAAAGCTTCCGTGGGAACAAATTGATCGTGGTAGATTTTGATGCCTCTGATGAACGTATCAACATCTTCCTTCTCCTCAAGATAGCCAGAGTAAATCTTGGGTTTGTGCTCAGGTTCATTGCTTCTCAAATCAATTTTCCCTCTCGATACTGGATTAAGAAGAGTCACCATAACCATAATGATGTCCTGATCTTTGTTCTCCTTCATCACTGTCTCAACGATTTGTGTTTCAAAGCCAATTGTGCTCAGCGTGAAGAGCAATTCGGGCGCGAGTTTCTTGAAGGAGAAATGATGATACTGAATATCCGGGAAGACACTGTCATTCTTCGTATTGACGAAACCCATTGTGTCAATTGTTCCGTGATTGGTGAGGAATCCAATTTTGTGCACCAAGAACATGTACATGGCGTCATTAATCTCTTCGCGACTGATTTGAAGGGCATCCGATTTGTGGAATTTGAAGAACATCGGCACAATTGGGTGATCTTGCAAATTTCTACCGACCTCGAGATTCTTCTTCACTGGAATCTTCATTTGCTGCAAGTGTTTCTCCGGTCCAATTCCCGACAGCATCAGAATTTGGGGCGTGTTGATTGCTCCAGCAGACAAAATCACTTCCTTCTTGGCCTTTGCAATGAGTTCTTTCGTTCCATTGACATTCACCTTCACTCCGGTCACTTGCAGTTTATCATCCATTTGCAAGTCAATCACATGAGACCACTTGGCAATGTGCAGGTTTGGACGATTCTTGGCGGGGTTGAGGAAAGCCTTAGCTGTACTGAAGCGCTTTCCGTCGTTAACTGTGCCCTGGATGAAGGCAAATCCGAGATGTTCTTCGCCATTGACATCGCTGAGGAATTCATATCCCAATTCTTCTGCTGCTCCTGTGATGATGAACTTCAATGGTTCGGTACTGCTGAACAATTCAACCTTCAGCGGACCATCTCTGGCGTGGAATTTGCCTTCTTCACTCTCGGCAATAAGATCATCCTTATTGGCTTCGGATTTCTTAAAATACTCCAGCACATTTTTCCATCCCCAGCCAGTATTTCCGTTCTGTTCCCACTGATCATAATCCCGACGATTGCCCCGGATGTACACCATGGCATTGATTGAACTTGAGCCACCCAACATTCTTCCACGAGGCCAGAAACTACCATTCTTAATAGACTTGCTGGCTTTATCGGACTTTTCGGCGCGGAAATCCCAATCGTAGGGCGAATGTTGCATGGAGAAAAAGAGGTTGGGGATCTAGAAGAGACAATGAAGCAATTATGTAGATTTTTAAAGTCTCTTAAATCTTAGAAAAGTGAGTTAGGCTTGAAGTTAAGAATCACATGCAACATAAATGGGGCTTTTGGGGATTGAATTAGAACTTTTTGGGATTGAGATTCTAAGATATTAATTGTACCATCATGACTCGCTTGATTAGAAATTCTTAAGGACTACAAAATATCCCGTTAATATAATACTTTGGTTTTATTATTGCCCAAATATTAACCACATCCGTTAGTAAATTATAAGTGAGATTTAGCGTAAAATCATGCAACTTCCCAGCGAGATTCTACAGTTCTTGGCGATTGGCCAGAGATTCGCGAGCAATCCAGTCTTCCTTAATAAGATCCGATGCTTTCTCAGCAATCATTACAGTTGGAGCATTTGTGCTGCCGCTTGGGAGACTCGGCATAATGCTGGCATCAGCCACTCTGAGACCCTTAACACCTCGGACATTGAGTCGAGGATCGACGACGGCATTTCGATCGGTGTCCGGACCCATCTTGGCCGTTCCAACGCTGTTGTACATCGTGGTGACCATTTGTCGACAGTAACAATCCCAGTATCTCTTCGTGCCGTCGTTAATTCCGCACGTTAGAATGGGAATTTGCAGCTCCGCCACTTGATTTTGCAAGAATGCATTTGTCAGGAGGAATTTCTTCTGCATTTCAATGCCACGAACTAAAGTGTCCACATCTTCGCGCTTCTCGAGGTATTTGTGATTGATCATGAGTGGATCGAGTGGATTGGCTGTTTGCATTTTGAGTTTTCCCATTGATTTGGGCTGAAGATGAATGATCCACGCTATAAGGATGTCTCCTTGATCAATGGCAGACTCCAAGACGGAATTAATTGTGTCTTCATAGCCCATTGTTTCCAAAAACTTCGGGAATATTGCTTTATCTCCCATCTTAAAGAGATTGTATTGGAATTGAATGTCTGGAAAGCGATCTGTGATGTTCACTGTGTTGAAGAATCCTACGAAATCAAGGACGAAATTGTCGGAAATGTTTCTTTTAGTCAAATAGTGATAATATGCTTCAATTTCTTCGGGTGTGAAATCAACTGCTTTCTTTTCTTGTTGCACTCCATGAGGACATATCGGCACTTCCTTCGGTGGTTGAGGCACATTTGGGATTGGAGTTTCTACAGGAGGTCCTCCTGTTCCGCCCATCTTTGGAATTTTCATGAATAATGGCACAGCAACTTGATCTTGAAGACTTCTTCCGACAGGCAAATCTGTCACCATTGGAATGCTGAGTTTCTTCATGTATTTTTGAGGTCCAATGCCGGAAAGCATAAGGATTTGTGGAGTATTGATGACTCCTGCTGTCAAGATCACCTCTTTCCTAGCGCTAACTGCCATTTCAGTCATCTTGTTGAATGTTACATAAACACCTGTTGCCGTGACTATTAAAGGATCAATTCGTACTTTCGTCACGTGTGCATTTTTGATAACGTGCAGATTTGGTCGATCTCGCGCCGGGACGAGATATCCTCTCGCGGAACTGCACCGTGTGCCATTATCGAAAGTCGCGGATGCACTGCCGAATCCCAGATATTCATCACCATAAATATCCGGAATTATCCTGTGACCCTGTTCAATGGCAGCCATCTGAAGGACATCTCGCATTGGATCACTGCTGCGGAAAGTGCCAATCTTCAGTGGACCGCCACGTCCGTGATTCGTGGCAGCGATTGTATTGGGCAATTGTTCATTTATCATGTCTTCAGACTTCTTGAAGTACGGCAACACCGAATTCCATCCCCATCCGGTATTGCGATCCAATTCCCATCGATCGTAATCACGACTGTTTCCGCGCAGATGAAGCATGTGATTCAACCCACTTGTGCCACCGAGGAATTTCCCGCGTGACCACAGAATGCCATTCGGATGGCTCAAGCTGGACTTCTTGGACGGTGTCGTCCTAAAGTTCCAATCATGCACCGTGTTTTGCAGTGTGAATTGCATGCAAGGCATCTTTTTTGTGTGTGTTTGTTTTATGTTTTGCGCGCAAAGCCACCAGAAAAAAAGAAAGAGAGAAAAAAACATGCAAAAAGGAGTGAAGACCAATTTTTTTTTGCAAAAAGGATATTAGCACAAGCGGTTAAAGCATAATTTGGTAATTTTGATAGCCAAAGGAATGTTAATGGGATGAGTAATTTGGAAAAAAAGAGTGTGTTAGATCAGATCTTACCTCAGATTCTATGGGTGGATCTCCTCCTGCCTCGAGGAGAAGGACTTTCCAGTTGGGATTCTCACTCAGGCGATTAGCAACAACTGATCCTGCAGATCCTGCGCCGACAACGATGAAGTCATACTCCTCAAAACCTATGCAGACAATTGAAAATCAATTTAATTTTCTCTCCACGCTGCATTCTAGAGGCTTCTCTATTGACCTTTCTCCAGTGCTGTCGGTCCGTAGTCCTTTGGCCACATTTCCGGCGGCGACAGGGCGCATTGCGAGGCGAGCAGAGTGTTGATTAGGAGGCCAATCAGTTGATTTGCCGGTCCCACGCTTTGGGCGGCGCATGGCAATGTATAAGTCTCCATCGCTGCCACTAATGAGATAAACCCACGAGCCGGCTAATCTGTTAATTGAGGAGTTAATGCCAATTTAATTTCACCCTTATAATATATTTCTTTCTACCCGACAACATTGTCGGGTTATCGCGAATCGCTGAGTACACGTCAGGCGTTGTGATGATGTGTAACCTACCCAAATATACGAAATGATAAGGTCAAATGGGATTTCAGTAAGCTGTCTTATCGTCTGGGCCATAAATATACCGTAGACTTTTCACTCAGATAAATAAACATTGCGCTTTTATTGGTCCACGTCGGAGTGGAAAATTGCTTCTGACCAAAATTTCCCAATGTTCTCATTTCTTTTTCCATCGGTTGTATAATCTTGATTGATTGGATTTGTTGTTATCGAGGGCAAAACATCTTCAGGCGTCAATTGGTTGATGTTTAAAGGTGTGTGAAAAATGATGTTTAACATTTCGTGAGTCTTTTAGGGTCAGGAGAAGTTTTGATCTTGTCAAACATTTAACTAATATTAAAGACATTGTTGCAAAAAAACATTGTTATTTAACTCATCATTTCGTGTTTGTGACCTTATGATTTTCTCAATGACTTATGGTCACCGAAACGAGTTTCATCCACTCTCTGTTCAATGGATTGAAAGTCGCAGTATTATTAAATTACTTTTCATTGCGAATCGCTAATTTTCTCACAGAAATACCACACAACTCTCTCTTGATTAACTGCGGTTTTTTCCATTTCTTTGCTAAAACGTAGAGAAAATGTCAAAAGACACTCACCAAGAACTGTTCACTGAATTTTATTTTCAATTTGCGACCAAACCAAGAAATCAATCCGAATAACTCGACAGCACTTTCCACAGTGACTGACTCCGTCGGATATCGTGTGAATTTCTACTCATTGTACTATCTTATCAGTGTGTGGTGGAGAGAGCCGATTGGCACGGGACACACTTGAGGAGAGTACATATTTGGAATAATTCTCAAAAAAAATCTCCTTATCAGAGGATTTTTTTGTTGCGCCCGAAGGAAAAAAACATTGTAGCTTAAAGTTCTACTTAATTGCGCTTACCTGAGAATCTTGCGGTCCTAGAACTCAACTCGCTGTGAAGTGTGCGAAGTTGGAATGCAAATAGAGTCAAGATGTGGCGCACAAAGTGGAATGATTATTTGCAGAATGACACAGAAAGTTAAGATAAAATTCAGACAACAATAAAGAAGATGCACCCGTGATTACTTGAAAGCCACTAATATTTATTCTAGGGATTATTTTAATTCTATTTTGTTGTACTTTGATGCTCCACACGAGTTATCTTGCACTTCTGGATGCCTCAGAAGAACTGACTTTCACTTTATATCACCACGGGAGAAATTTCACCGGCCGGTTAGTCGATTTAACATTGAAACTGGTTTATCGGGTTATCATAGACTCATATATATGTGTGAGATGCAGTGTTGAATCAACATTCTTACTATGAACAACTTGTGTAGAATATGCTAATGACTACGTATAATAAGAGCCTTCGAGAGCTAAAAATATCTTTATTGGACAAATTCAATTTCACCAATCTTCTTTAATGAAATCTGCACCTTTTTCCGCAACCATGATTGTCGGAGCATTTGTATTTCCACTAGGAATTCTTGGCATTACACTCGCGTCAATGACTCTCAAACCTTTAACGCCTTTGACTCTCAATTTGTAATCAATAACAGCGTCAGGATCAGAGTCAGGACCCATCTTTACTGTCCCAACTGGGTGAAAGACTGTCGTTACTGTGACACGACAATAACATTCCCAATATTCGTCACTGTCAAATGTCAGTAAATCGCATTCGGGAATTGGAATGATGAAAAGTTCAGCTTCGTGGCTTTTAAATGTGTTTGTCTTTAGAAATTTGAGATACAAACGAATTGCTTTAACAAAAGCCTCCACATCAGAATACTCAGATAAGAAGTTCGCAAATATTCTTGGTTTCTCTGTCGGTTCGGCACTTCGCAGCAGAATTTCACCCCGTGACTTTTCTCTCAACATCGCTGGTGCCATAATTAGAACATTTGAGGTTTTGGCTTCATCAGCAATAATTCTTGATATTTCTTGAGTATAACCCAACTGTTTAGCAATGAAGAGAAACAGACCGTCTTGTTGACCTTTGTGAAATAACAGTTGATAGAATTGAAAATCAGGAAATCTGGACAAAGGATCATGAACATTGACATATCCAATTGTTTGAATCGTTCCTACTGTGGCCAAAGTTCCTGTGTGACGCATTAAATACTCAGCAAAACTTTCCAGAATTCCTGCAGGATTCACAGGAGTTGCCGTGGATTGATCGAGCTTCACTACTAACGGCACTATCGGATGATCTTGCAAGTTCTTTCCAGTTTGAACATTTCTGATCACTGGAATTCCCATTTCTTGGAGATGAGAAGCAGGTCCGATCCCAGAAAGCATTAGAATTTGCGGGGAATTTATGGCTCCGGCACTTAAGATCACTTCCTTCCTTGCAAAAGCCTTAAATTCAGTTTGTCCTCGAAGCTTCATTGACACTCCTGAAACGACTCCTTGACTATCAATCTCGAGTTTCGTGACGTGCGCGTATTTGACGATGTGCAAATTGGGACGATTCATGACAGGAACTAAGAAAGCCTTCGCCGTGCTTTCTCGGACTCCTGATCTGATGGTTCCTTGCGAGAATGTGAATCCAATATGTTCATTTGCGTGAATGTCTAAAATGAATTTGAATCCCATTTCTTGTGCTGATTCAATGAAGTCTTGATTAAATGTGTCGTTATCCTTGTACAGTTCGACTGATAGTAAGCCGTCCTTCGAGTGATAATATCCTCCGAAGGCATCGGCGATTTCCGGATCGTGATTTTGCTCGGATTTCTTGAAGTATTCCAAGACGTTTGCGAATCCCCAAGTTGGATTCCCGAGTGCTTCCCAGTTATCGTAGTCGTCTTCGTTTCCTCTTACGTAAAGCATTCCGTTCATTGAACTCGATCCACCCAACATCTTTCCTCGGGCCCAAAAACCAATATTTATACTATCGAAGTCCGGTTTCTCGGGTAGTTCCGCATAATACTCCCAGTCATATTGAGTCTTCGTCAAAGTCAACGTTAGTCCGGGTATCTGCAAAAGTGCAAGTATTTAGATAATTTGTCTAGAAATCATATTTGTATAAAACCTCACAGCTGACTCGATCGGAGGATCTCCTCCTGCTTCCAAAAGGAGGATTTTCCATTGAGGATTTTCACTGAGACGATTAGCAAGAACACAACCAGCCGATCCGGCGCCAACGATTATGAAGTCATATTCCTCAAAACCTATTTGAAAACTCCATTAATTCGACAATTTTGATTTTCATCGGCAATTCTTACCCTTTCTAATCGCAATATCTCCATAATCTCTGGGCCACGTTTCCGGAGACGAAAGAGAACATTGTGAAATGGCGAGATAATTGAAGAGAAGCGAAATGTATTGATTCACCGCTCCAGTACTTTGACCCATGCACGGCGAAGAAAAACAATCCATTTGTATTAAATTCAGAAAATTTCCAGAAGTGAAATTTCAAAGATGTTTATGCTCTGAAAGCTGAAATATTACTAAACATTTTCCAAACTCTCCTCTGAATGTGCAAAAAGAATTTGATTTAGCATATTTAGGAACCAGTTCGCGAATGTTGAACAGGTTTCCAGAATTTTATTATCCTTTTCTTTAAAACGCCACAACCATAGATCAATAATTTCCGAATTGCCGCATATATTAAAAGCATAAGAAAGTAACCATAAACATGAATAAGATGATGCAGTGATGAATCAACGTTCTTACTATGTTAAATTTCTCAACAATATGCTTATGACCACGTATAATAAGTGCCTTCAAGAGACTAAAATATCTTTATTGAATAAATAATTTTAGTAAATTTTTTTTCACTTCAACATTACCAATCTTCTTTGATGAAATCTGCACCTTTTTCTCCGATCATAATTGTTGGCGCATTTGTATTTGCACTAGGAATTCTTGGCATTACACTCGCGTCAATAACTCTCAAACCTTTAATGCCTTTGACTCTTAGTTTGTGATCGACAACGGCGTCAGGATCTGAATCAGGACCCATTTTCACTGTCCCAACTGGGTGAAAAACTGTCGTTACTATGACACGACAATAACATTCCCAATATTCGTCACTGTCAAATGTCAGTAAATCGCATTCGGGAAGTGGAAGGATGAAAAGTTCAGCTTCGTGGCTTTTAAATGTGTTTGTCTTTAGAAATTTGAGATACAAACGAATTGCTTTAACAAAAGCCTTCACGTCAGAGTCTTCAGAAAAGTAGTTAGCAAAAATTCTTGGTTTCTCTGTCGGTTCGGCACTTCGCAATAGAATTTCACCCCGTGATTTTTCTTTCAACATCGATGGAGACATTATAAGGACATTTGATGTCTTTGCTTCATCAGCAATAATTCTTGATATTTCTTGAGTAAAACCCAAATATTGAAAAATGAAGGAAAAAAGAATGTCTTGTTGACCTTTGTGGAATAACAGTTGATAGAATTGAAAATCAGGAAATCTGGACAAAGGATCATGAACATTGACATATCCAATTGTTTGAATCGTTCCTGTTGTGGCCAAAGTTCCTGTGTGACGCATTAAATACTCAGCAAAACTTTCCAGCGCTTCAGCACTATTAAGAGAAGTTGCCGTGGATTCATCGAGCTTCACTACTAACGGCACTATGGTATGATCTTGCAAGTTCTTTCCAACTTGAAGACTTTGAATGACTGGAATTCCCATTTCTTGAAGATGAGAAGCAGGTCCGATCCCAGAAAGCATTAGAATTTGTGGCGAATTAATGGCTCCGGCACTTAAGATCACTTCCTTCCTTGCAAAAGCCTTCAGTTTTTTCTTTCCTCGGAGTACCATTGACACTCCTGAAACTTTTCCTCTATTATCAATCTCGAGTTTCGTGACGTGCGCGTATTTAACGATGTGCAAATTAGGACGATTCATGGCAGGACGCAAGAAAGCCGCGGCAGTACTTTCTCGGACTCCTGATCTGATGGTTCCTTGCGAGAATGTGAATCCAATATGTTCATTTGCGTGAATGTCTAAAATGAATTTGAATCCCATTTCTTGTGCTGATTCAATGAAGTCTTGATTAAATGTGTCGTTATCCTTGTACAGTTCGACGGACAATAAACCGTCCTTTGAGTGATAATATCCACCGAAGGCATCAGCGATTTCCGGATTGTGATTTTGCTCGGATTTCTTGAAGTATTCCAAGACGTTTGCGAATCCCCAAGTTGGATTTCCGAGTGCTTCCCAGTTATCGTAGTCGTCTTCGTTTCCCCTCACATAAAGCATTCCGTTCATTGAACTCGATCCTCCCAACATCTTTCCTCTTGGCCAATAGCCAAAATTTACTCTAGTAAATCCTGGTTTCTGCGGTAGTTCCGTATAATACTCCCAATCATATTGTGTCTTCGTCAGAGACACTGATAGTCCAATTATCTGCAAAAGTGCAAGTATTTTGATTACTTGTCCATATTTTAATATTTTGTATAAAACCTCACAGCTGACTCAATCGGAGGATCTCCTCCTGCTTCCAAAAGGAGGATTTTCCATTGTGGATTTTCACTGAGACGATTAGCAAGAACACAACCAGCAGATCCGGCGCCGACGATAATGAAGTCATATTCCTCAAAACCTATTTGAAAACTCCATTAATTCCACAATTTTGATTTTCATCGGCAATTCTTACCCTTTCTAATCGCAATATCTCCATAATCTCTGGGCCACGTTTCCGGAGACGAAAGAGAACATTGTGAAATGGCGAGATAATTGAAGAGAAGCGAAATGTATTGATTCACCGCTCCAGTACTTTGACCCATGCACGGCGAAGAAAAACAATCCATGTTTGTGGTCTGAATGTAGAAATATGACTAAAAATTTTCCAAACTCTCCTCTGAATGTGCAGAAAGAATTTGATTTAGCATATTTAGGAACCTGTTCGTGAGTATTGAACAGGTTTTCAGAATTTCATGTTACTTTTCTTTAAAACTTCACAACCACAGACGAATATTTTCCGAATTTCTCTATGCAATGAAAACATATGAACATAAAAGTTTATAAAAATCTTGTGAGAAAATTAGTTGGTTTTATTCCACCACCGTTTATTTTCTGGATAATAATGCATTTTCGAATATATTACACTCATATTTTGACGCAGAAGTCTATAAGAATTTCTGTAAGTACATTATATATACTTGTCTACATATATGTATAATTTATAGATATTTATCTTTCACTCTCGAGACGGAATATATCTTCCATTCATTAGACTAGACATGCTGAAAACTTGTATATTTAATTCGTTGAATATATTATGCAATTTTTATCTTCTTCTGAATATTTATTTATTCTCATTGACCGGTGTAACCCCAAGAGCGTTTCACAAAGTCAGCTCCTTTTTCTCCGATCATGATTGTTGGCGCATTGGTGTTGCCTCTGGGAATTCTTGGCATTATGCTTGCGTCAATGACTCGCAAGCCTTTAACGCCTTTGACTCTTAGTGTGTGATCAACAACAGCGTTTGGATCTGAATCGGGGCCCATCTTAACAGTTCCCACTGGATGATAAAGGGTTGTGGTCATGTAACGACAATAACACTCCCAGTAAGGATCACTATCAAATACTAAATAATCGCACTCTGGAATTGGTAAAGTAAACAATTTAACATCGTGGCTTTTAAATGTGGGCGTTTCCAGAAGTTCTAAATATTTACGAATGCCTTTTATGAATGTTACAATATCAACAGTTTCGGATAAATAATTTGCAACAATACGAGGATGTTCAGTTGCATTAGCGCTGCGAAGCAAAATTTCTCCTCGTGATTTTTCTGTTAAGAGATTAACACTTGTAATAAGAATGTTTGAATCTAGAATTTCCGATGACACTGTTTGCACAACAGAATCTTGATATCCCAAGAAGTTAAGCGCTGAAGCAATATCGTCAAGTTGTCCCCTTTGAAAATATAAGTGATGGTATTGAATATCAGGTTGAGTTACAATAGGATCTTGAACATTAACGTAAGCCCATGTTTCCATAGATCCAACGTTGGAAAACGGACCAGTATGCTCCGTAAAATATTGCAAGAAACCCTGAAGAGTTTGAGTCATTGTTACTGGAATTGCTGTTGATTCATCAAATTTGAAAATAAGAGGTACGAAAGGATGATCTTGCAAGTTCTTTCCGACTTGAAGATGTCGAATTACTGGAATTTCAAATTGTCGAAGATGAGCAGCAGGTCCGATTCCTGATAACATTAGAATTTGCGGGGAATTTATCGCTCCGGCACTTAAGATCACTTCCTTCTTCGCAAAAGCCTTTAACACTTTTTGTCCTCTGAGATTCATTTGTACTCCTGAAACTTCAGCTTTGTGATTAATTTCCAGGCCTAGCACTTGAGCGTGTTTAACAACGTGTAGGTTTGGTCGATTCTTTGCCGGACGTAAGAATGCAGCAGCTGTGCTGTCGCGCACTCCTGCCTTAACAGTGCCTTGACCAGTAGTTATTCCAATGCGCTTATCTGCATTCATGTCTGGTACATATTCATATCCCAGTTCTTTGGCTGCTTGGATCAGATAAGAATTGATAGGTTCGTTACTGTTGAAGTGTTCAACGTTTAATAATCCACTTTTGGAGTGATAATATCCTCCGAAAGCATCAGCAATCTCAGGATTTTGATTGCGTTCAGACTTCTTGAAGTATTGCAGCACATTCTTCCATCCCCATGATGGATTTCCAAGCTCTTCCCAGTGATTATAGTCATTCTCAATTCCTCTGACGTACATCATTGCATTCATCGAACTCGATCCTCCCAACATCTTTCCTCTTGGCCATAAACCCGATAGTTTGCTGTATTTTTCAGATGGTTCAATATAATACTTCCAGTCATAATCACTTTCCACTAAAGTTGTAACAAATCTTGGTATCTGTAAAATCAAGTCGTCTCTTAGGGGTTTGTTTGTGATTGTAAGCAAAGTCTTACCAATGATTCTACAGGAGGATCTCCTCCTGCTTCTACAAGAAGGATTTTCCATTGAGGATTTTCACTGAGACGATTAGCAAGAACACAACCAGCAGATCCGGCGCCAACGATTATGAAGTCATATTCCTCAAATCCTGCGAAAATTCCGCATAATTGTAATGTAATTCACGGCCAAGTTTCTTTGAATTCACCTTGATCAATTGCAATGTCTCCATAGTCTTTCGGCCATAATTCCGGGGGAAAACGCGGGGTTGTGAGAATATTCAAGAAAAGTGAAATGTACTGACTAACTGCTCCAGTACTTATGTTTGTGTATGGAGAACAGACACAATCCATAATTATCTTCTAATATTCACGTTTTCCTATAAATTATCACGATGCTTTGCCTTCTAGTACCAAAGTTAAACTGAAATTACAATAGTATTCTCTCTAGTCATATATAGCATGAAAAATGTCTGCTTTATGACTTTATTTTCGTACTTTTTTATGTTTATATCCATCATTCATATAAAAAATACAAGATTAGTCTGTATATTTGACGTTATCTTTCACTTTATTACGCATTTAGATACCATACAAAAGCCATTGAAACAAAAAGTCTGTCAGGCACGCAAGAAGTAAAAGTCTTTTAGTCGTCTTAAAATTATTTCGTAACCCTAAAAAGAGATTTTTTGTTCCTTAAGTAGATTTCCAGTCTTGCTTGATAAAATCAGCTCCTTTTTCTCCGATCATGATTGTTGGCGCATTGGTGTTTCCTCTGGGAATTCTTGGCATTATGCTTGCGTCAATGACTCGCAAGCCTTTAACGCCTTTGACTCTCAGTGTGTGATCAACAACAGCGTCAGGATCTGAATTGAGACCCATTTTTGCTGTCCCCACGGGATGGTAAAGAGTTGTAATAGTATGGCGACAATAACATTCCCAATATTCATCGCTGTTGAATTGTAATTTATCACATTCGCGAATTGGAAATGTTCTCAGCTTCGCTTCATTTGATTGAAATGTTTTTGTCGATAAAATTCGGAGATACAATCGAATAGCTTTTATAAAAGTTTGAAGGTCTGATTTTTCGGCTAAATAATTGGGAATTATTCGAGGTTTTACCCCTGGATTTGGACTTCGCAACAGAATTTCGCCCTTTGATAATTGTGTTAAAAAAGTTGGTATTGTCAAAATAATACTTGACGCTTGAACTTCCCGTTTTCCAAAATGTATCACATTGTCAGGATATGCTAAAAGTCTCAAAAGTCCAGTGATTCCGTTCACATCTCCTTTCTGGAAAAATACTTGATAATATTGAAAATTCGGGTACTTTGACAGAGGATCATCGACATTTACATATCCTATGGTTGAGAGAGTTCCAACTGTTGCAAAATCTCCTCTACGTTCTGTCAAATATAAGGAGTAGCTCTTCATCAGATCGACTTGGGTTCCTGATCTTGCGTTGGATTCATTAAATCTGACTAAAAATACTATACAAGGATGATCCTGCAAGTTCTTTCCGACTTGAAGACTTTGAATTACTGGAATTTCCATTTCTTGGAGATGATTTGCTGGTCCGATTCCTGATAACATGAGAATTTGCGGGGAATTTATCGCTCCGGCACTTAAGATCACTTCCTTATTCGCAAAAGCCTTCAATTCAGTTTGTCCTCGAAGCTTCATTGACACTCCTGAAACGACTCCTTGACTATCAATCTCGAGTTTCGTGACGTGCGCGTGTTTGACGATGTGCAAATTGGGACGATTCATGGCAGGACGCAAAAAGGCCGCGGCAGTACTTTCTCGGACTCCTGATCTGAGAGTTCCTTGCGAGAATGTGAATCCAATGTGCTCATTTGCGTTAATGTCTAATATGAATTTGAATCCCATTTCTTGAGCAGATTGAATGACGTCTTGATTAAACGTGTCGTTATTCTTGTACAGTTCGACTGATAATAAACCGTCCTTTGAGTGATAATATCCTCCGAAAGCGTCAGCGATTTCCGGATCGTGATTTTGCTCAGATTTCTTGAAGTATTCCAAGACGTTTGCATAGCCCCAAGTTGGATTTCCGAGTGCTTCCCAATTATTGTAATCGTCTTCGTTTCCTCTCACATAAAGCATTCCGTTCATTGAACTCGATCCACCCAACATCTTTCCTCTGGCCCAATAACCTGTGAGAATGCTATAATTTTCTGATTGATCTATATAGTATTCCCAATCGTATTTCGTTTTTGCGAGCGCTGATTGAAATCCAGGTACCTGATGTAAAAAAGAAAGATATATACAATCTTTCCTGTTTTCAATTAATTTTTTTATTCATAATTTTTTACCATTGATTCGATGGGCGGATCTCCTCCTGCTTCGAGGAGAAGTATTTTCCAGTTTTCATTTTCACTTAGGCGATTCGCGACGACTGATCCTGCAGATCCTGCGCCTACAATAATAAAGTCGTACTCCTCGAAACCTGCGTGTTTACAATTCTTATTGATACACTTTCTATCACTGTAAACTTAAACATATTGTCACCTCTACGCATAGCAATTTCTCCGTAATCTCGTGGCCAAGATTCTGGCGCTGTAAGTGAACATTGCGACAATGCAAGGTATTTCATGAGGAGAGAGATGTATTGATTCGCAGGTCCTGTGCTCAGGTTTGGGCAACTCGAAGTCAATTGTACCATTGTTAATGCACTTTTGCTTTTCCAATATATGCTTATTATTTTTAATTTCGCACTTTACATATACACGAAAAATACATTAGACGCAGTGTTTGCTGTTTTCATGTTTTCCGCTGTTGTATATTAAAAAAATTGTGATTGAAAAAGTATCTTCAAAGTTTGCTTAAACGAGAAGCATTTGATATCGATGTTCACTATAACACGACTTTACTGTGACTGTGTTCTTTTTATTCAGACTGCTTATTTATAAACGGCCGTTGAATCTGAATAAAAAATGGTACATAAGAAGACCAAAAATTAGGTGTAAATAAGTTTGTATGCATATGTATTTCGATGCGTGTTGATATGTTGAGGTTGAATGTGTTAAGAAAACATAGTTTTTTTTTCTTTTAACCCTTATTCGCGGAAAAATTATCCAAACAACACGAAACTACATTTCTGGTATGTATGTATTATGAAAAACTAACACGATTTGCATCTTCTGTCTGTGATGAATTGTGTTTGCTATGAAGTTTCTGCTGCGATAGAATAAAGAAATGTGGAGAAAACCAGTTGTTGTTGAGTTTATGCTCAATAGAAACCTTATAAGAAAGAATATAGTAAATTCAGGAAGAATAATTGGAAGAAAATTATTATTTTTTTATTAATCAAAAAAGTACAATTAAATTATAGGTTGCAAAAGAGGAAAACAGAAAATTTCAAATGATAGTATTCAACCATGAAATAATTCCATCTTTAATCAAAATTTCCAATCTAGCTTTATAAAATCAGCTCCTTTTTCACCAATCATAATTGTTGGCGCATTGGTGTTGCCCCTGGGAATTCTTGGCATTATGCTTGCGTCAATGACTCGCAAGCCTTTAACGCCTTTGACTCTTAGTGTGTGATCAACAACAGCGTCAGGATCTGAATTGGGACCCATCTTAACAGTTCCCACAGGATGGAATACTGTTCGCACGGTATATTGAAAGTAACATTCCCAATATTTATTGCTGTTAAATTTTAGCCTATCGCATTCTGGAATTGGAAACGTTCTCAGCGTTGCTTCATTCAATCGATATGTTTTTGTCGATAATAATTTGTTATATAATCGAACTGCATTGATAAAAGATGCAAGATCAGAGGATTCGGCTAAAAAGTTGGGAATAATTTCAGGTTTTATATCAGGATTAGTACTTCGTAGTTGAATTTTTCCTTTTGATTCGGGTGATAAATGCATCAACAGTACAAAAAATATATTTGAGGTTTGAATTTCTTTCCTACCAAAATTTATAACATCTTCACCAAATCCAAATCCTCTTAAACCTCCTGAAATAGTGTCGATATCTCCTTTATGGACAAACAGTTGATAATATTGGAAATTTGGATACTTTGAGAGAGGATCATCAACATTTACATAACCAATAGTTTCGAAACTACCGACTGTAGCGAAATCTCCTCTTTGCTCAGTTAAATACGTCGAGTAACTACTCATCAGATCAATTGGACTAAATTTTGTGGCATTGGATTCATTCAATTTGACTAAAAATGGTATACACGGATGATCCTGCAAATTCTTTCCGACCTGAAGACTTTGAATTACTGGAATTTCCATTTCTTGGAGATGAGAAGCAGGTCCGATTCCGGAAAACATGAGAATTTGCGGGGAATTTATGGCTCCGGCACTTAAGATTACTTCCTTCCTTGCAAAAGCCTTCAATTCAGTTTGTCCTCGAAGCTTCATTGACACTCCTGAAACGACTCCTTGACTATCAATCTCGAGTTTCGTGACGTGCGCGTGTTTGACGATGTGCAAATTGGGACGATTCATGGCAGGACGCAAAAAGGCCGCGGCAGTACTTTCTCGGACTCCTGATCTGATGGTTCCTTGCGAGAATGTGAATCCGATGTGTTCATTGGCGTTAATGTCTAAGATGAATTTGTATCCCAATTCTTGGGCTGCTTGAATGATTACGTTGTTGATTGTCAGATTGCTCCTGAAGAGTTCCACAGACATTAATCCGTCTTTGGAATGATAAAATCCCCCGAAAGCGTCAGCGATTTCCGGATCGTGATTTTCCTCTGATTTCTTGAAATATTCCAAGACGTTCTCGAATTCCCATGTCGGATTTCCGAGCCTCTTCCAATTGTCGTAATCGTCCGCATTTCCTCTACAATATATCATAACATTGAGTGAACTCGATCCTCCCAACATCTTTCCTCTCTGCCAAAAACCAGAGTGAATACTTCGATTAATTGTCTCTACCGAGAACATCCAATCGTATTCTGTCCTGGCCATCCCCGATTGCAGTCCTGGAACCTAGTTTAAAGGTTTTTGTAATATTAACATCACTTTCCTTAATTAATTATATTTATCCAGCGTCTTACCATTGATTCAAATGGCGGATCTCCTCCTGCTTCGAGGAGAAGTATTTTCCAATTTGGGTTCTCACTTAAGCGATTCGCAACGACTGATCCTGCAGATCCTGCGCCAACAATGATAAAGTCGTACTCTTCGAACCCTATAATTATTCTTCGTACAGAATTATTGTCTTCATCAATTTAAATAAGTACATAAATTATCACCTTTATGCAAAGCAATTTCTCCGTAATCTCGTGGCCAAGTATCTGGCGCCGAGAGTGAACATTGCGACAATGCGAGGTAATTGATAAGGAGCGAAATAATTTGATTCGCAGGTCCTGTGCTCAGATGCGGACACGTCGAAGGGAATTTATCCATGTTCTTCTCAGTGTTTTCAAAGCAATTTTTTTCGATATTATATACTGATATTATTTTTTTTACTGAATATTACAATAATTCTTATTAAAAATGTGATCCTTGGATGTTTGTTCAAGCAATAGGAATTTTTTAACGATGTTCACTATGAGACGTTTGAAGTGAAACTGAGTTCTTGCTGGCCAAATTGCATGATTTTAAAAATCTGTCGGATCAGAATGGAAGATGGTATATAAGAAGACTAAAGTTTTATGTAAATAAGTTGTGTGGGCACGTATTATGGCGGTGTTAATATATTAAGGGTGAATGTCTTCAGGAAACATAATTTATTTTCTTTACATTTATTTGCGAAAAATATTCCATTGAGTCAAAGCAATAATCATGGTTTGATGAAAAACTATCACGACTTGCACTGATTGTCTGAGATTGATTAATTGTGTTTACAATTCTATATGAACTATACTAAAAATAAATGTTTTATAATACTAGTTCATCTATCGAAAAATCCAAAAGCTTATTCTATTTTTACCTATGCAATGTCACTACATAAATTTCCAATCTTGCTTAATAAAATCAGCTCCTTTCTCACCAATCATAATTAATGGCGCATTTGTATTTCCTCTCGGAATTCGTGGTATTATACTGGAATCAATTACTCGAAGGCCTTTAACGCCTTTAACTCTCAG